AGACATATAATACTATAATATAGGAATTGGGAAATGTATAGTTGTCCATTATACGTAATGAGCCACCATTATGATGTACAAAAAATGTACCTATCGGGGTCAAGACACTGTTTGTGTACAAAGTAATTGCCGACTTGTCACAGGTCAGTGCTTGGGTGGAGAGTGAAGCCATAAAATAGTTATCTGTGATCATCAAGTTATGAACTCTTAATTAAAACACAAAAGAATCATGTTAAAAGTGTTAATTACATCGATTAAATCCAATCAACAAGGTTAACCTCATAAGGAAAATCGATCACGTGGTGTAAACAATCTGTTTTGAACTGGTCAAATTTCACCTGGAATTTTATACCGCACGGAAAAGATTTAACAAGTCGTTTAAAACTTTACCGATTTACGATTTTTTAACTGAAAATTTTAGCACCACGGAGAAAAATTATACATCGCGGTAAGAACGATACCACCACGGTAAAAAAATATACATCGCGGGCCCGCGGTCCTTTAAGGGCCTGGGGAGAACACTGATCATAAGATAGTATCCAGAAGTAAATTTTGTAAAAAAAAAATTCCATTTTTTCCGTATTTTACTTATAAATGGACTTAGTTTTTCTGCCAGTTAACATTACATTCACTCTGTGGTTAAAGTTTTCAAAATTTTAACAACTTTCTTAAACTATCCTGGATTTGTACCACACTTGGACAGAAGCTTGTTTATGATCAAAAGCTAGTATCTAGAAAGAAATTTTGATAAAATTTCGTTCCATTTTTTCTGTATTTTACTTATAAATGGACTTAGTTTTTCTTCCAGGCAACATTACATACATTCTGCAGTTAAGTTTTTAAAACATTTATTAGATTCATAAATTATCCTGGATTTTTACCAAACTTGGACAGAAGCTACTTACAACAGTCAGGGGTGCTACTTAAACAAGTGATTTCATCATCACTTATTTCAGTGATTTGATAAATTCAGTTATCACCTATTTAAGTGATTTTAGTGTTTTCTTTGATCTTCAAATACTAATTTCATTGATTTTCCATATTTTCACAATCTTTTCTATAATTTTCCTACATAAATCAATTATCCCTTTTTCTTTGTATATTAATTTCACCAGTGCGCTTGGGCAGTAAGTTAGTGCGCTAAAGCTTTTAAAAGTACCCTTGGGAATTTTTCTGTAATCAAAAATTCATTAACTACTCTTACTATCAGACAAAGATCAACAATATTAGGTAACCTGATTGGTTTTCTTTAGAGTTAGAATGATCTACTTCAAGGTTATGACCTGATCTACAAACTATTCCAGTTTTTGCATATTTTAAAAAAACTGTAAAAGTGTCAGGCTTATCAAGCAAAAGAAAATTTCTGCCTGTACATAGTTGTTTTTTCAATGGAATTGTTGTCTTTTTACTAATAAAAAAATCAAGCTTGTGGGAAAAATATCAAGAAAATGTTATAAACACTTATTAAAGTGATTACATTTTAACTTCTAAAATTACTTGTTTCAGTGATTTTAAAAAGTCTGTGTGAAAATTTTTAATATTTCACAGCCAAAATCACTCGAGGAAGTGATTCTGAAATCACTTGTTTAAGTAGTACCCCTGACTGTACAATCAAAAGATAGTATAGAGAGGAATATTTTTATTAATTTTTTTCCTCATTTTTGTTGAACCTGTGATTAACACCAAAAGTAGGCGAGACACTGGGTTCCGCAGAACCCTTACGAATTTTTATATCAGAATATCCAGATTCACCTTCCAAAATTATCAGATGACTTCTTAAGGAGTTATTGCCATTTAATGATGATTTTTTTATTAATTTTCGTGTTTTGCCATGGCAAATTATCCGCAATACAAGATCTACATAAATGACAAGATGACTGAAACCATTAGATGACTTCTGCTAGGAGCTATTGCCTTCAAACGACAATTTTTGTCTCGCCAGCACAAAAGGTGCAGAATACGAGGCATAGGGATTACAATCTGGCTGTGGCTGCAGCAGCATAAGCTACATTGTATTAGTTTAAAGCTTTATATTTCAGAAGGTAGACTTTCTAAGACCTGGATGCTTCATACATGTACCTTGTATGTTGATATTGACATTATTTCATGGATCAGTGATCCATGATCAAGGTTAAGTTTAAGTGGTCAAGTTTGTTTCTTAGATACTATAAGCAGTAGGTCAACTATATTTAGTATATGGAATGATTGTAACCTGTACATGTCTGACTGGCAAGTTTCATCTGACCTTGATCTCATTTTCATGGTTCACTGGTCATTGTTAAGTTTAAGTGTTCAAGTGGTCAAGTCAGTAACTCAGATACTATAAGCAGTAGGTCAACTATATTTAGTTTATGGAATGATTGTAACCTGTACATGTCTGACTGGCAAGTTTCATCTGACCTTGATCTCATTTTCATGGTTCACTGGTCATTGTTAAGTTTAAGTGTTCAAGTTGTCAAGTCAGTAACTCAGATACTTTTAATAAACTATAAGCAATAGGTCAATTATAATTGGTGTATGGAATGATTGTAACGTGTACATGTCTGACTGTCAAGTTTCATCTGACCTTGATCTCATTTTCATGGTTCAGTGGTCAATGTTAATTTTTACATCGGATGACCGTGAGGGCATTCCGGTGTATTGTTGCCACAGATATTTCTACCCACGTGACATTCGTTTTTGACTGATAACCGTATAATTACGCGGATATTATAGTGTGCAAAATAACATTCCTTATCGCTTGTTATTTATTAATTTTATCAATAAATATTCATGAAAATAATTTTCAAGAACATAGATAAATGATATGAAAATGTTTTGTCGTGAGAAATATATATCAATAACAAATCAAGAATACCGAAAATTTGTGTTAACGCATGCTGAAGAATATCTTAAGAACGTTTTGTAACAAACGCGGGAAAATATGAATGCCTACTCGAATCCAATCTATTAGAAAAAACGAATTATTGCAGAAGAGTGTCCACCATGCACTTGCACTGCACTATCATTAGAAGAGTAGAATAGAATGATATACAAATGGATGAAAATTTTATATAACTATTATACAAATATAAATATAATATATAACAACAAACCAGAGTATACTGATTACAAATAATTATATCACTACAATATAATAGTTATTACGGTGAGGTTGAATTCCCTGTCATTTATTCATCATTCACACATGAACTTGTCTCAGAAAAAATATACATGTATCTATCTACCTTAACCTAACTTTCAGGTATAGAGATGTGATTTTTTTCTGAGACGTGCTTGTGACCATCAACCAGAACTTGTGGTCATCCGATGTTCAGTACTTCAGTACTTTGATTTTGATTTGATCTCTTTGCCAAATGTTAAAACCTTAAGCAATAGGTCAACTATATTTGGTTATAGAATTATTGTAACATGCATATGTCTAACCACTGAACTTCAGCATGAACTAGCATGGTTCATCTAGCCTTGACCTTATTTTCATGGTTCATTGTTCAATTTTCGTAATTAGGTCTGGTTTTCAGATGTACACAAGCAATAGGTTAATTATATTTGGTATCATGTGGTATGATTGGTACATGTAGGAGTATATTTTTTGTCTGGCAGGGTTCATCTTACCTTGACCTCATTTAAAAAATTGGTTATTGATAATGTTAATTTTATTTGAAACTTTTAGTAAAACTTTAAAATCACACACTATCAACATAAATTAAATTATGATAAGTAAATTAAAGCAGGTGAGACATTTCAGCATGTGCACTCTTATTTGACAAAATTTTGCATTTTCTAAATGTTATCATAAAAACAGTAATCATAATAGATAGAGTTTTATCAATAGTTAATTCTGCAAATTTTGAAATACATTTGATTTTAGCTTCTATTTGACCCAAGATTGTACCCTCTCTAAAGGTATAAAACCACTAATTCATAGCCCCATTGCTTTCTATGTTAAATTCTGCAATTTCAAGCATAAATGGCTACTTTGTCTAAAGTTCAAATAAAGTGGCAGTTATTTCATGTCAAAACTGTACCTTATGCAGACTTGTGCTGAAAAAATCAACATACCTTTAATTGCATATTAGAGCGTACTGGTTCCCGGAAGTTTGATAGTACAAAAACAGGAACTTCTGATCTGAACAACAGGCCAAATCAGCCCTCCTATTAAAATTTCATATACTTCTTTATTATTCAACTAAAACTTTCCACAAGGATTCTACAGTGATCCCAAGTCCCCAAGCTTTCATTTGATACTAAAACTACCCAAATATTCCCACTATTGACAAAGATACAGTTATGCGTAGGAACTATTTTGTTTAAACTATGTACTACTTTCTTGTATGTTCTTTCCGACCGGGCCTGAATTAGTGGTTCTATACCTAAAGGAAAAAGTAATAAATATTAAGATTCTGATAACCTAGCAGATTTGCTTATTTTACAGCCCAACCTTAGCATCCTGGTCCTTTTTATTTTTGTCATTCAAAAACAGAATTGGTTTTGTTTGTTGAACTTTGTGTATATATATGTATGTAAATGAAATAGGATCAATTGATGGTCCACCTTTAAGTGGAAAATTGAAGAGACTGAGTATGATTGTAAAAATGATTGTAAAATAGCCATATTGTTTGGACATTTTTCCTTCATCAAAGGCACTGTGTGTAAATTTTTTATTGTTAGGTTGCTGGCTTAAAGACATTTACAAAGAAATCTCTTTAATGTATTTAATTTAAGCATAAGGTGGGTATTTATTTACTTTGAAAAATTAATGAAATTAAAAAAAAAACAATACATTTAAAAATTTCATCTACTTTCACTAATGATGTACAATTTGCTTTACCATGTTTACTAAAGAAAAAGAACATCTGGTGTAATTTGATCTGTTTTAAGTTTTCTGTCTCTAATGAATGCATGCTTTCTGTGTAAGATGTACAAATATATGGAAGATAAGATTTATTTAGTTTATGTAATGGTTTTTTCCAACAGTATAATATTAAATGAAAGATTAAAATGGAGTTTAGTAATAACATTCATATTAAAGAACCTCTTTGGACTATCACATATAAACCTAGACAAAATGCATTCATCTTATATGTATGTGTGAAAACCTTGGTGGAATAATTCGTTTTAGGGATTTATATTTCATCGATCAGGCTAAATTGTAAGTATTTTTTGGCATTTTTCCGCTCTGTTCACATTATTCAACAATTTATACTCTTAAAATGAAGTTGGTGTCTACTATAAATCTTTTACTAATACATGTAAATGGAAATTTCAGTGGCAACAACACATCATTTTAAAAGATAATTCATTGGAGTGGGTTTTAGGAAATAGCAATTTAAAGTCAAATTAATAAAATTTTGGGGCAATATTTACATGAATTTAGGACAATCCTCTATACCACAATCCTCTATACCAGTTCTATATATGCTTTAAAAAATATAAAGTTTTAATGTTTTACAATTATATAACATATTGACCCATTTTCTGGTATTGATGGAAGATCTTTGGTAAAGTATTTAAATTTAATTTATTGACAACTTGTGTTTTGTTGAACTTGAAGATTATGTTAACCTTTAGATGTTTTTTCTGTTTTTCTTGTGTTGTTTGGTTGATGTCTCAGTATCATGAACCCTACATCTCCATTTATTCAATGACATACATTAAAAGAAAGGTTCAGACAAAAAAAAATTGTTTTGGTCTTACAGTAAGAATTAAAAGCATCACTATAAATTTTAAACTAAGATATTTATAATATCTTGAACTTAAAGATTTGATTTGTTGTACTAAATCTTTGATGTATGCTTGATAAATTGATAAAACAAGTGGTACTATAAATAAAATATTCAAATTTTAAAGTAAATTTGGATTTTATTAGATAAATACTTACCATCATAAATTCTGAGTGTAACCCCAATTGCGTCATAGGTCAGATGGAAAATCCCGACTAAAAATAAACGTACTCTCACTGGTCCGGACATATACCCCTGTTTGCCCATATTCTCCCATTCAATTTCCTCAAGACAGAAACGTAAGGAAAGGGGATGAAGGGGAGGTGGGTGGGACCTATAATTTATGATGGTAAGTATTTATCTAATAAAATCCAAATTTACTTTAAAATTTGAATATTTTATAGCTATAAATACGTTACCATCATAGATTCTGAGTAACAGAATCTAACGTAAAGCTGAATCCCCTGTAACAGAAGAAACAGGAGGAAAGTTCAATCTTTGTGCTGAAACTATAGGTCCAAGAGAGTATAAACTCTCGGCAAAAGTAGCCATAGATTGGAGGTAATGAGATATAAAAGAGTTCTCATTTCTCCAGAAACCTGCAGACTGTACCTCTTCTATAGATGTACTGTTAAACAGAGCCCAGGATGTAGAGATACCCCTAACATCATGAGCTTTAACATTTAAACTATTTAAAAATGTTCTGCCTTAGAAGAACCATAAGCTAAAGATATGCATTTGCATATCCAAGTAGAAATAGTTTTAACAGAAAGATCTGAGATTCCTTTTTTAATAGGAATAAAGAGTCTTGAGTTAGAAACAGAACGTAAACTACTCGTTCTATCCAGATAAATAGAAAGGATTCTTACTGGACATAAAAGTACAGAAATAGAATCGCTAGGGAGTGCAGGAATCACAACTGGTTCTGCACCCTTATCTGGAATCTGATTCTTTGCCAAAAAAGCAGGATCCGTTAAAAGAGTAACAGAAGATTTATCCCTGTTAAATCGAAGGCAAGCATCAGAAATAGAGAAGGCATGGATTTCACTCCTTCTCCGTCCAGAAGCCAAAGCTAAAAGAAAACAGCATTTATAGGAAAGAAACCTTAAATCTATTGTTTCTGCTGGTTCAAAAGGAGAAAGTTTAAAAAAAGATAAAACTAGTCCAAGGTCCCACTTAGGAACTAAAGTTTTTTGTCTTGGTCTTTCAAGACTAAAACTACGAACCAAAAGAGAAATATGCTCATTGTTGCCAAAATCTGGGCCACCAGAAATATGAATAGTTCTTGAAATAGCTGATCTATATCCCTTAATAGTAGAGGACCATAATCCTTTGGATTCAAAAAAGAAAAACTAGAAAATTTGCTAATTGTTGTACAGTGACTTGGAAAGGATCAATTTCCCGCTCACTACACCAATCTGAGAAGATTGACCATTTTGCATCATAGACAATGCTAGTGGAGTCTCTGACAGACTTTGTGAGATGCTTGGTTGCTCCTTCAGAAAAACCTCTCTTTCTGAGGCTAACCCTGAGAGAAGCCAGGCGTGTAGATGAAGTTTTTCTGGATTTTGATAAAGAACCTTGCCCTTGATTTGAGACAGAAGGTCTGGTCTCAGAGGTAGAACTAGAGGACAAGCACATGATAGGCGCAGAAGGTCTGGAAACCAAGACTGTTTCGGCCATGCTGGAGCAATAACTATGATCTTGCAATTTTCCCCTGCTATTTTCTGAAGTACTGGGGAGAGAAACCTGAAAGGAGGGAAGGCGTACCCGAACATTCCTTTCCAAGATAGGCTCATTGCGTCTACCGCAAAAGATTTTGGATCTGGAACCGGAGACACAAATGTAGAAGTTTGTGATTGAGACTGGTCGCAAACAGATCTATCTGAGGTGACCCCCAATGAAGAGTTACAGCTTTGAAAACTACTTGAAGTAGTTCCCACTCCGTGTTTACTGGAGCAAGGGATCTGGATAGAGTGTCGGCTAGAATATTGAGGTGCCCCGCAATATGTCTCACCACTAGATGAACCTGGAGTTGAAAACACAGAAGGAGAATGTCTCTGGCTATCTGATAAAGAGAAGGTGAATGAGTTCCTCCCTGATTCTTGAGATAAGCTACAACTGTTGTGTTGTCCGTGGCCAGAATGACAGACTGATTCTTTAGAGACATTTGGAAATGATTCAGTGCAAACAGAACTGCTTTCATTTCCAATACATTGATATGCTCTTCCAAAAGATCTGGATTCCAGACTCCCGAGATTGTAAGCCCCTCCAGATATGCTCCCCAACCGAGGGTGGAGGCATCTGTGAATAATGTTAGACTGGGAACTTGAGGGGACAGACATAGGCCCCTCATTACATTTTCCCGTACTAACCACCATTGAAGGTGTGGAAATAAAGGCTGAGTGATTGGAATCAATGCTTCCCATTCTTGTGAAGCTGGAATCCATAACTTGTGCAGATAAAACTGAAGTGGACGAATGTGAAGTCGTCCCAATGGAATTACATCTGCCAGAGAGTTCAATAGACCCAGAAGTTGCAAGAATTGATGTGCTGTGACTGATTGAACTGTCAGGAATAAATGTATTTTCTGACATAGTTTTGTAAATTTTTCCTCTGGTGGGAGGACTAGGCCTACACTGGTTAGGAAATGTTCTCCCAGGAAAACAAAGTCTTGAGAAGGAATTATCTCTGACTTTTTCCAAGAGATTAGGAAGCCTAGGGACAGAAAACAATTGATGACCAAATCTGTCTGAACCCTCAATTTGATTGGGCAAAATTCCTTGAGAAGGGAATCGTCCAGGTAGGAATGAATCTGAATAGACAGGGAATGTAGGTGAGCTATAGCTGCCTGCATGATTTTGGTAAAAGCCAAAGGGGCTGTAGACAGGCCAAAAGGGAGAGCCTTGAACTGGAAAACTTTGTTGTTCCAAACGAAGCGAAGGTATTTCCTGTAAGTATGGGAAATGGGAATGTGGAAATAAGCATCTGAAAGATCCAGAGAAGTAGTCCACATTCCTGGAAGGATTGAAGCCCTGATTGATCTGTTGGTTTCCATTTTGAAATGGGGAACAAAAAGAAAGTTGTTCAGAATAGATAGGTCTATGACCGGCCTCATTCCTCCAGTCTTCTTTGGAACCAGAAAAAGACGGGAATAAAATCCCGGAGACAGAGTTAAGAGCGACACCTCCTCTATTGCAGATTTTTGTAACATTGTGTCCACTTCTACTGATAGAAGTTGATACTTGACTGGGTCTTGAGTATGAGACAAACTTATCGGAACTGCAGACAGAGGAGGTGGGTTCTTGAACTGAAGTGTTAATCCCCCTCGAATTATTGACAGCACATAACAGTCTGAGGTAATTTTCTTCCACTGATTTAGGAAAAAACTTAACCTCCCCCCTACTGGTATTGATTATTGAGGAACTTGTTGTAAATTTTCCCCTGGGGAAGCTGTCAATAACGTACGAGGGGGCAAGAACCTAGGTACTAGACCCAGGTTTCTTGGGACCCTTAAAACCACCAGAAGGCTTACCTGAGCTTTTTCCGGAGTTATTGGGTTTGTTCTGCGGTTTGCCGTAGTTATTCTTCCTTTTCTTAGCAGAAGAAGGAGGACCACCTGAAGCAGAAGTACTAGTAGAACTAGATGTAGCATTAACCGACCTCTTGCCATTAGTAACTTGTACACTAACTTTGACTGGAGGAGGGTTTTTGCTGAGTTCCTCTTGAACCCGCTGTAAGGGTAAACCAAACATCTTGTCAGTAAGTGGAGATTTCAGTAAAGAATCTTTCAAAGGCTCAGCAACAGAAATGTTTTCAAGAAACTCTGCTCTTTTAGATAGGGTGCAATTAGCAATAGAACCCATTAAAAGCAACTGAGATGAAACTAGAGCTTTATCCAGTTGAAGTAAGAAGGATCGTACTTCTGCTGGAACAACCGAATCTTCGCTGTTAAGCAAATGTCCGGTTGCAGCTAGAAAATGTTCGGCTGTGCCAAGAACTTGAGAAGCACTACGAAGGAGATTCTCAGTCTTTGACCAAACAGGTTGAGTGAGACGAAGACCATCTACTGGCTTTTTTCCAAATAAAGATGACATAGATTTGTCACAACTGGGAACAAGTCTACCCAGTGGAGAATCAAAGATATCAAAATCCTTGTACTTAACCTGATCAGAAAAGGATGACATTCCAAATCCAGAGATATTGTTATTAGCAACCTTTTCACTAGCAGAATTAGCGATACCTTCATTAATAAATTGTAAAGCAAATGCCATATGGCCAGATTCAGGAAAAGAATTGTGAGAAGTCACAGTATCCTGAGAAATACCACAGGAAGCTTCAAAAGTTGAAGAAGGTTTCTTCGGCTTGGAAGGAGAGGCAAAAGGGATATGTGCTTGATCCCTCATCAAGGTATACACCTTATCCCTAAGATCCTTCAAGGATGGAGGATCCTCAGTCTCCTTGGTGGGAGGTTGTTGAGCTGACTTAGAAGAAGGCTCAGGGGCCGTCTTCGATACCTTGGGAGAAGAAGAACTTTCAACATCCTCATCAGTGAGGAAAGCCCTTTCATGACTCCCAGGGGAAACAGAAAGCTCGTCATCCTCCCTCTCATCACATTCTACAGACTTAGCTGGAGAAGGTTGATGAGAAGAAACTCTATTCTCCCGTAGAGACATACGACTGGATAGAGTACTAAATTCAGCCTTGTCAGAAAGACTCACCAAAGTCCAAAAGTAACTTCTGAAAACCATCCAAAGATGATGCATGATCAGAACCCTGAGTACCATGAGAAGAGCTAGAAGATTGAGCTCGAGAGTCAAGTACGGTGGTAAAAGGAGCTACTGCAGGAGTCAAAGATACTGCTACGGGTGGAGCAGGAGCTAAAGGTGGTGCAGTAGCTACCCCAGAAGGGGGACCATAGAAATTGTCCCTATAAGGCCAAAAACCAGGTTGGTTTGGCATAAACCCACCATAAGGGTAAGACTGTGGCCAAGGTGGCTGAGACCATGAGGGTAAAGGTTGTGTGCCCGAGTTGGGAAGCATATACCCACAATAGGATAATGGGGGTCTAGAACCTGGCAAGTTCAAGCCCATAGCTGTACCTGGGACAGAACTAATAGTACCCGATGAATTAACAGGCCTAGATAAAGTATGAGTCACCGAAGTTGACGTAGGTACCCCCCCAAAATGCATGGCCGAACCTTGTGAAAGGGTCGGATAGGTAGCATTACCAGACACCGTTGTCGAAACTCCGGTATTGATGGAAGATCTTTGGTAAAGTATTTAAATTTAATTTATTGACAACTTGTGTTTTGTTGAACTTGAAGATTATGTTAACCTTTAGATGTTTTTTCTGTTTTTCTTGTGTTGTTTGGTTGATGTCTCAGTATCATGAACCCTACATCTCCATTTATTCAATGACATACGTTAAAAGAAAGGTTCAGACAAAAAAAAATTGTTTTGGTCTTACAGTAAGAATTAAAAGCATCACTATAAATTTTAAACTAAGATATTTATAATATCTTGAACTTAAAGATTTGATTTGTTGTACTAAATCTTTGATGTATGCTTGATAAATTGATAAAACAAGTGGTACTATAAATAAAATCAACATTTTGACAAAATGTGTCTAAAAATCAATAGATATGAGTAGAACTGATCAACAATGATAAACTGTTCAGTAAGTGTGTTACTAAACAAATATACCAAAATGTGTTAAGTATTAAATTTAAACAATTAAGTTCACTTTTATTCTGTTCAGAATAAGTGTCAACCCTCATTATACAGGTTGGAGTTATTAGAATAAAATACTTGAAGCATTTTTAGTCCTCTTTAAGCAGGAAGTGTTTCTACTTGTTTATGAAATGTTTTTAGATAAAGAAATTACATGAAGCATCCAGTTAGGTCATTATACTGTATATTTAAGTGTGATCACCCAAACTGTGGATGTCAAGTAAAAAGTTCAAATGAGAATTGCATTATAATTATCATATTATGATTATTCTTCGTTTGATCTTTTTATTGGTTAGTTATTAAATGGATTTTATATGAAGATAATGCAATTAGAATAATAAACATTAACAAATATTTAAAAGTTTATTTCAAGACCCAGCAATTTAATGTTTTTTCAGTGGTTTATTTTGTGAGTTCCAAGTTTTGTTACTTTTTAATGTTGTAAAAGATTGTTTAAATACAAATTAAATTTAAAATCGGATTGGTCAGTCAGATCATTGATTTGTCCTACTGTCCCAATTTTGTATCTGCTACTGTTCCTAAACCACAGGACAGGATTTTTGTCGAGCCTGCGACTTTTGTCGCAGAAAGCTTGACATAGGGATAGCGATCCGGCGGCGGCGGCGGCGGCGTTAGCTAACTTCTTAAAAGCTTTATATTTTAGAAGATGGAAGACCTGGATGCTTCATACTTTGTATATGGATGCCTCATGTTACGAAGTTTCCGTCAGTCACATGTCCAATGTCCTTGACCTCATTTTCATGGTTCAGTGACTACTTGAAAAAAAAGTTCAGATTTTTTGTAATGTTAAATTCTCTCTTATTATAAGTAATAGGATAACTATATTTGGTATGTGCGTACCTTGCAAGGTCCTCATGCCCGTCAGACAGTTTTCACTTGACCTTGACCTCATTTCATGGATCAGTGAACAAGGTTAAGTTTTCGTGGTCAAGTCCATATCTCAGATACTATAAGCAATAGGTCTAGTATATTCGGTGTATGGAAGGACTGTAAGGTGTACATGTCCAACTGGCAGGTGTCATCTGACCTTGACCTCATTTTCATGGTTCAGTGGTTATAGTTAAGTTTTTGTGTTTTGGTCTGTTTTTCTTATACTGTATGCAATAGGTCTACTATATTTGGTGTATGGAATGATTGTAAGGTGTACATGTCTAGCTGGCAGGTGTCATCTGACCTTGACCTCATTTTCATGGTTCAGTGGTCAAAGTTAAGTTTTTGAGTTTTGGTCTTTTTTTCTAATACTGCATGCAATAGGTCAGCTATATTTGGTGTATGGAATGATTGTAAGGTGTACATGTCTAGCTGGCAGGTGTCATCTTACCTTGACCTCATTTTCATGGTTCAGTGGTCAAAGTTAAGTTTTTGAGTTTTGGTCTTTTTTTCTAATACTATATGCAATAGTTCAACTATATTTGGTGTATGGAAATATTTTATGATCTATATGTCAGTCACGCAGGTTTTATTTGACCTTGACCTCATTTTCAAGGTTCATTGCTCAGTGTTAAGTTTTTGTGTTTTCGTCTGTTTTTCTTAAACTATAAGCAATAGGTCAACTATATTTGTTGTATGGAAGAATTGTTAGCTGTACATGCCTGCCTAGCATGGTTCATCTGACCTTGACCTCATTTTCATGGTTCATTGGTCAATGTTTAGTTTACTTGGTTAATGTTAAGTTTATGTGACAGTTGTAATAAAGCTTTATATTTAGAACTATCAACATAATATCAATGATTAGTAAAGAAGGCGAGACATTTCAGCGTGTGCACTCTTGTTTATAACTTTCATATCATTTTACTCAAATGATTTACTTTTGCTTCTTCTATTTCATATTTCTTCATCTGAAAGATTTTTTCTTTTTTCTTTAGGATGACATGAACATGGACTGCTTCATATGTTCATATGATAGCACACATTTGTATCTCCTTCTCCTAAACACCTTATCATAATTTTATGATATTGGCCCTTAAATTTTCGTTATTTATCATCATGTGTTAATGATGATAACTTATGTAAATATAACTGAGAAATACAAATTAAACAGATTTAGGCACATTCCACCATTGTTGATGTCTAAATGACATCCTAATTAAGCTCTTTCAAGAAAAATGCACCTCAATTCTGATAATTTTTAGTTTGAACAACATTGGCCAGTCGTGTATATAGCTAACAAAAAATAAAGTGAACAGGATTGCTTTGCTTTGTCTGATCTAATACATGTCATCAAAGATACCAATGTTAGAAAAGAAGCCAAAAAATGAATGTTAGAAGTAAACAGAGTTAGAAGTAAACAGAGTCAAAAAGCGAGGACTTTGGTATGCTGTTTCTGAATGCTTCAGCAACGGTGTGATTAGGTCAGTTTATGAGGAACCACTATTGCTAGGTCAATGATATTTGGTATGCAGTTGTATTAGCATTGGCACATCTCATTACCATGGAGATTATTTGGCCCTGCCCCCTCAGTCATGGTCTATTGACTTTGAAACTTTTGCTTTTACTTTACATGCATAAGTTTGTGATTAGGTCAGTTTATAGGGAACCACTGTTGGAAGGTCAATGATATTTCGTATGCAGTTGTATTAGAATTGGCACATCTCATTTCCATGGAGATTATTTGACCCTGCCCCCTCAGTCATGTTCTATTGACTTTGAAACTTTTGCTTAATTTACAAATTTTAGTTTGTGTGATTTGGTCAGTTTAAGGGGGATCACTAGTGGTAGGTCAATGGTATTTGGTATGTAGATGAATTAGCATTGGCACATCTCATTTCCATGGAGATTATTTGGTTCCACCCCTTGTCTAGGTCTATTGACTTTGAATGTTTTGCATAGTTTACATGTTTGAATATTGCCATTTGGATTCAATATTTGCTTATACTACCAAAATTACAAAAATGTGAGACATATCTTTGTGTCAGCAGTTTATCACTGTCAGCCCACCTGACTGATTGCAAATTGAATCATGGGGAAAATAACTGTGATTCAGTGAATCTAAATCCCTCTATTGGGAAATGCACATTTACATGTGGAAAAATAAAGCAGAGTATTTTTCTAACAATTTGTTTCTATTTTGTAGTAAAAGTATGTGAGAGTAAACAGAAATTTGATGATGAGGGCAAGACCGAGGAGTATACTGATTACAGTTGGTCTAGTGTTGTGTACAGTGTTTTGGCTAGCATTGTTTTCTAAGGAAGGTAAGATCCCAAATTATTTTTTTAAGGAAGATAGTATCCATCTGAAAATGTATGTGGAGATTCTAAGAAAATGAAGAATTTGCATTAATTCTTTAAATTTTACCAGTGCATGTACTGAACTAATACAATCTTTTTTAAGCCCACTTGAACCTGTTGGTCAAGTGAGCTATTCTCATCACTTGGTATCTTCCTTTGTTGTCGTCCTTAAACTTTTAATAAAATCTTGTTTTGAGTAATAGAAAGAAAATACTAACATAGAGGTCTCTAAACACAATAGCTCCAATGGAGCTTGCATTAGTTGAAGCCATATTAATTATGTGTATCAGTGGAAATGAATTCATGACAAATAACAAGTTTAGGTAAAGCAGAAAACACATAATTAACAGTGCCTAATAATTATCCTGTTATGATAACAGATAATTATCTGGTAACAGATAACTTTGAGACACTATATAAATAGAATGCCACTATATCAATCCATCATTCTGCCTCTGAAGGAAATGCTAATTTTGTCTATTATTATAAGAACCACTTAAGAGAGAGAAAATCTGAAAATATTTTTAAAGTTGAGATCTACCTACCATTTACATCAAAACTGTTAAAATTATTCATTTATAGGAGTTATTGCAGTAACAACAATTTTAACCTATTGTTTTTGCATTTACATGTTTATGCATATAATCTCGAAATATATAATAGATATAGAGAAACTTTAAAGGCAAATATTATCAGCAAGGTCTACAAATAAGTCAACATGTTTGAAATGGTCAGTTAACTCCTTATTGGAATTATTGCCCTTTAATGACAATCTTTACCATTTTTTTGCATTTTTGCCTATCATCTTGAAAACTGTAATAGCTACATGAAGATAGAAACTTTAAAAAGCAATAAGGATTAGCAAAACTAGATCTACAAATATGTCAACACAGACTGAATCATTATTTGACTCTTTATTGTAGTTATTGCCAAAAAATTTTTTTGCATCGTATAATGCTATGATGTCGTCGGCGGCGGCTTCATCCGAAGACACATTTGTAACTTCCAGACAATAACTTTAGTTTAAGTGAATGGATAATCTCTATGAAATTTTACCAGAAGTTTCAATACCACAGAAGGAAGGTTGGGATTGATTTTGGGGGTTATGGTGCCAACAGTTTAGGAATTAGGGACCAAAAGGGACCAAAAACAAGCATTTTTGTAGTTTCTGGACAATAACTTGTGTGTAAGTTTATGGATCTCTCTGAAATTGTACCACAAGGTTCCATATCACAAAGGGAAGGCTGGGATTGAGTTTGGGGGTAATTGTCCCAAACGTTCAGGAATTACGGGCTAAAAACAAGCATTTTTCTAGTTTCAAGACAATAACTTGTGTTTAAGTGTATGGATCTCTCTGAAATTGTACTGCAAGGTACCATACCACAAAGGGAAGGCTGGGATTGAGTTTGGGGGTAAATACTCAAGGGGGGGTAACAAAAAAAAATAAAAGTAGCCAAAAGTCTCAGAAGGCAAGACATAGGTGTTGCTTTTGCGGTGGTGGCGTTGTCATTCTTGGCAGCGTCAATAATTGTTAAGTTTTCTGCTTAAGTCAGTTTGATAGGAATTACTTGTGGTAGATCAACAATATTTTCTATAAAGTTGAATTGCTATCAGTACATATCAATTTGACAACTATTTGGAGGCCCAGGCTGCCCTTAGGTCATGGTCAAGTGACTTTCAGTTAATTAGCAGTTTTCAATGTTAAATTTTCTACCTAAGTTTGTTTGATAGGAACTACTTATGATAGATAATGATATAACTATCAGCACATCTCAGTTTGTTGACCATTTTGAGGCCCTGCTCCCTAGTTAATTAGGGGTAACAATTTTTCAAATGTTAATATTATAATGACTATTTTGTTGCTGATAAAAGTGGTTTGTTCTAAAGGGATGCAGAATTATGATTTAGAGTACATAAGTAAGTTTATTGTGAATTTGAATTAATTAGCAATGTTGCTGTCTTTCATATTGTCATTTTCTGAGTTTTCTGCCGACAGACAAGACATATCTCTGTGTCAACAGTTTATTTGTGTTATTGCCTATTATTTTGAAACTATAATAGATAGAGAAACTTTGAAGGCAAAGTCTACAAATCTTGTATATCAAGTTTATGGTTCCATTCCATCAACAGAATTGCGAGCACAATAGTTATAATCTGCCATTTGTTTGTTATCGTTAATGGTCGCAAAAACGATTTAAGAAAAAGCGCTTATTTGACCAAGACAATTTTGTGACATGCTTAAGGAAGAAGTTTTTTCGATCACAGCAGTTTTTATACGACCGCAATTTTTGTGGCCGTGTAATGGTATGGCGATGTCTTCATCTGTGTCGTCTTCCTCCGAACCATTTGGTTTCCAGAAAATAACTTGAGTATAAATGTATGGATCTCTATGAAATTGTACCATAAGGTTCCATACCAAAAAAGGAAGGTTGGGATTGATTTTGGTGGTTATGGTCCTAACCGTTTAGGAAAAAGGGGCTAAAAACAATACTTTTCTAATACTTTGTATAAATTGCTTATTTCTTGACCAATTTCAATGGGGTTTAATTCAAAGTCTCGAAATCTTGGTGTTCTTAAATATGCTGAATCCAACCATGTATTTAGATTTTTGTTTTTGGGCCCGTTTTTAAATTGGTCCACATTGAGGTCCAAAGTGTCCAAAATAAACTTTGTTTGATTTCATCAAAAACTGAATTTTTGGGGTTCTTTGATATGCTGGATCTAGCCATATATTTAGATTTTTTATTTTGGGCCCAGTTTTCAAATTGGTCCACATTAAGGTTCAAAGGGTCTAAAATTAAACTTAGTTTGATTTTAACAAAAATCGAAATCATGGGGTTTTGATATGCTGAAACTGAACATGTATTTAGATTTTGGATATTGGACCATAATAGGTAATTTTTTGGCCCAGTTTTCAAGTTGGTCCAAATCAGTTTTGGATATTGGACCATGATAGGTAAATGTCCATATTCAAATTTTTAAGTTCTTAGACCACATTCATTCTGTGTTAGAAACCTATGCTGTGTCAAATAATTGATCACAATCCAAATGCAGAGCTGTATCAAGCTTGAATGTTGTGTCCATACTTGCAACAACTGTTCATGGTGTGACCTCTGTGTTCGTATCAAGCTGCACCCTGCAGAGCATTTTATAAGACATGCTAAAGGAAGAACTTTTTTTTATCACACTGAAAATTACCCGGTTTTTATTTATTTATTTATATCCAAGCCATACCTTGAAAAGTTTAATAGAAAAGATAGATAGAAAGAAACTGTAAACAGCAAAAATGATTAGCAAGACAAGATCAATAAGAAAAATGAGTTTTGAAAATCATCGAATAACTCCTTATAGAGGTTTTGTTCTTTTATAACAATTATTTTCCAGTTGGATCTGAATCAAACCAGGTCACATTATAATTAGTGTGTAAAAATGGCTGCTACTGTTGCTAATGATTTTAATGTTGCATATTTTCCAAGTTGAATGAAGTTGGCTTTTAAGATTTTATGTAGATTGTAGTTTCAACTATAATATTTGATTTTTTCAGACAGGAACTATGATCATGTACTTCAGGTCAGATTTGCTGAACTACAAGACAAGTTGGAGATGTCAGATACATTAAACAGAGAAAGACAAGATAATCTAAATAACCTAAGAAATCAGTTCAATTACTTTCTACAAATGGTCTCACAGAACTCTACTGTTAACAGGTAACCAATTCTGACAAATAAACTAAGGTCGTCTAACATAGATTAAAATATAAATATCATAAATCTACAATTAACATTTGCCATGTTCTTTATTGGCTAATGCATTGAAAGCTTCTTTAATTTGTGGTCAACAGATCAAAAGTCAAAAGCAAACAATTAACAAGCAATCAATCAATTATTCTAATGCAATTAAGCATGTAACACCAATTGGATGACGTCCGCCGTCAATTCCATGGTTGACAGTATGAGTCATTGGTGACAACTTTGCACAATCGCAGTCGACGTTTATATCTGTCTTACTGGCTCTGCTCGACGCCACCAGTAAAACTGCATTAGCAACTGTCAAATCCCCGATTGATGATGTTAACTCTTCAAATACAGTACTGCTTTTCCTTAAATAAATCTCATAGTTTCCAGACAGAGTGGATAAAGAAAGACTATCTTAGCATGATTTAAGTTGACAAAATTGTATAAAATTATTCTATACAAGAGATTTTAGAAAATTTAGATTTCTTTTTCTTTTCTTTTTTTTTAACGTTTTCTGCAAGAAAAAAAACAAAATTATTAAAGACTCGATTGAGTAGTTTTGAGTTGATCACTTAATCATCACTTTATGCACAACCAAGCTCATTAATGTATGATGACTTCTTATTGTTCATAAAACATCTTAATTAATTTTTCATAAACTATAACAATGATCACTTTACTGCTAGTTGGAGGAATATCCAGGGATGACCATATTTCTATACCCCAGAATGTCAAATTTTACTTTCCATCTGTTTAGATTAAAATTTTCAGATGGCTCATTATTGGTTTTATTTCCAATAAATGATGATTTTTTGTCGAGCCTACGACTTTTGTCGCAGAAAGCTCGACATAGGGATAGTGATCCGGCGGTGGCGGCGTTAGCTAACTTCTTATAAACTTTATATTTTAGAAGCTAGAAGACCTGGATGCTTCATACTTTGTATATAGATGCCTTATGTTACGAAGTTTCCGTCTGTCATATGTCCATTGTTCTTGACCTCATTTTCATGGTTCAGTGACTACTTGAAAAAAAATTCAACATTTTTTGTAATGTTAATTTCTTTCTTATTGTGAGTAATAGGATAACTATATTTAGTATGTGCGTACCTTGCAAGGTCCTCATGCCCGTCAGACAATTTTTATTTGACCTCGACCTCATTTCATGGATCAGTGAACAAGGTTAAGTTTTCGTGGTCAAGTCCATATATCAGATACTATAAGCAGTAGGTCTACTATATTTGGTATATGGAATGATTGTAAGGTGTACATGTCCAACTGGTAGGTGCCATTTGACCTTGACCTCTTATTAATGGCTAATTTTACAATGTTAAGTTTTTTTGGTTAGATCTATTTCTCAGGTACTATAAGCAACATGACCACTATATTTGGTGTATGGAATGATTGTTAGGTGTACATGTCTGTCTGGCATTGTTCATCTGACTGTTTTTCTTCAACTATAAGCAATAGATCAACTATATTTGATGTATGGAAGGATTGTAAGGTGTATATGTCTGTCTGGCAGGTATCATCTGACCTTGACCTCATTTTCATGGTTCATTGGTCAATGTTAAGTTTTCATGGTTAAGTTTGTTTCTTAGATACTATAAGCAATAGGTCAACTATATTTAATGCCTAAATTGATTGTAAGGTGTACATGTCTGTCTGGCATGGTTCATCTGACCTTGACCTCATTTTCATGGTTCTTGTTTAAGACTGTTTCTTAGAAACAATAAGCAATAGGTCAACTATGTTTGGTTTATTGAATGATTGTAAGGTGTACATGTACATGTATTTCTCGTTTGGTTTATCTGACCTTGACCACATTTTCTTGGATTATGTTAAGTTTATGTGTTACTTGTAGTAAAGCTTTGTATTTAGGACTATCAACATAAAATCAATGGTTAGTAAAGAAGGCGAGACATTTCAGCGTGTGCACTCTTGTTTTACCAATTACCTGTATAGCTTTTTCATTAAAAAAAAATCAAACTATATATAATAGATGTGCTGAATATATACAGCAACAATTACCTATGTGTCTGTCTGTCTGTCTGTCTGTTTGTCAAGTTTTAGGTTAAATTTTTGGTTTAAGGTAGTTTACCATGAAGTTGTGGTCACATCAATCTTAGTACGCTTAGATTCATTACTATGCAATACGCAACAGCATAGTGTATTTCACAAAAGCAAAAAAAAAGGGGGGGGGGGGGTAATTTTTTGTTTTTTTGTTGGGGGGGGAGGGGGGGGGGGGGTGGGGGGGGTCCATTCGCAACAGCATAGTGTATTGCACAAAAGCAAAAAATTGAATATAAATTCAAATCATATAACCAATTCTAAGTTCTTTGACTACAGTTATTCGGTGTCAGAAACCTATTATGTGTTAAATATTTAATTACAATCCAAATTCAGACCTGTATCAAGCGCGAATATTGTGTCAATTTTTGCCCCAACTGTTCAGGGTTGGATATCTGCTGTCGTATCCAGCTGCGCTCAGCGAAGCATTTTATTTTTCTTAAAAACTATTATCAACAGAAACATTTAAACAGCAAAAGTAATTGACATTACAAGATCTACAAATAAATTAATTAATTGAAATTGTGAAAGCAGTTTTTTTTTAGATCAAATGATTGAAATCGTCAATCAAACCCTTTCATGAAAAAAAATTTCATCTAGGCTATACCAACCATCTTTGTGGAACAATTTGCCAATATCATTACGAAATAACAAATCATTTATTGAAATCAACCAATTGAAAAAAATGTTCAATATTAATTATTTCATTATGTTTATTTTTCCCCCACGCAGCAGAGGAGTAGGCATTAAGTGTGACATTGTCCGTCTCTCTGTATGTACGACTGTCATTCCATACTTACATCTGTACATCAGTACGTATGTATGTGCCTCCAAAAATTAGTTTCTGTTCTCTAATTTTAGTTTGCCTCAACCAAATGTTATGAAACTTATACACAATGCTTATTACCACAAAACACAGATCAAGTTCAAATTTGGGTTGTGTCACTTTTACCGTTCTTGAGTTATGTCCCTTTATAACGTTATATGCAAGTTATATGTGCAAGTTATATGTGCAACTAACAGCCTAATTTATGTACATAACATTACTGCATATTACTGTATCGAAGGTCGAGCATCTTGAAATTGTTATTTTGTGCTGAATAATAGATATAAGAAGATGTAGTACGAGTGCCAATGAGACAACTCTCTATCCAAGTCACAATTTATAAAAGTAAACCATTATAGGTCAAAGTTCTGCCTTCAACACAGAGCCTTGGCTCACACCGAAAAGCAAGCTATAAAGGGCCCCAAAAATGACTAGTGTAAAACCATTTAAACAGGAAAACCAATGGTCTAATCTATATAAAAACGAGAAACACTAATGAACCACATCAACAAACGACAACCACTGAACATCAGGTTCCTGACTTTTGAAATTATACAGTGATGGACTACCTTGATTTCTGGACTCAAAAAACATCATTTGCATCTCATGCTTCAAGGTTTAGATATTTATTCTTGTGAAGTATGAGATAAAACATGTGAAATATTTTGGTATAGATCTTAATGTAGAACTGTAGCATTTGCTGTGTTGCATGAAGAAACTTATTAATTGTTTGTGCATTTTAAACATCAAATTCACATATTCTGAAATCTCCTTGAGCTGTTATGATTTACAATTTAATTTGCTAATCATACCAAAGCAAAGTCTGATTTTTCATGTATAAGAATTTCATGTAATTTTTTAGCTTTAATTTTCTGTATTTAGATCTCAATCTGACTCTATGTCTTCTGAACTCCAAGAACTTTTCAAAGGACATTTACATAATATAACCGAAGAAAACCAGTCAGGAACCAGTTTACATCTACCAAGCATCTTTACATACCTTCCACATCTTACTGGGCATCCAGAAAGTCTGAAACCAAAATATCATCTGTCAAAAAATAGATTTGGAGGTAAGAAATTTCCCAAAGTCTATAACCAAATTTTAGAAATATAGCTCTGGTAGAAAAAGAATTTCCCAGAATTCATAGGCTAAATTCTTATTGTGTACAAATACAAGTGTAGGATTTCCGGAATGTTTTGACCAGAACTATAGCATTCATAATTCATTCTTACTGTCAGTAAAAGATAATAAAATGTCCAACATTTTCAATGTGAATGGCCCAACTAGTAAGTATGAGTTATTACTGCTATAGTTTGTGTAACTGCCTTGGTAGTATGTATGAGTTATTACTGCTACAGTTTGTGTAACTGACTTGGTAGTAAGTATGAGTTATTACTGCTACAGTTTGTGTTACTGACTTGGTAGTAAGTATGAGTTATATCTGCTACAGTTTGTGTAACTGACTTGGTAGTAAGTATGAGTTATTACTGCTACAGTTTGTGTTACTGACTTGGTAGTAAGTATGAGTTATTACTGCTTCAGTTTGTGTTACTGACTTGGTAGTAAGTATGAGTTATTACTGCTACAGTCTGTGTAACTGATTTGGTAGTAAGTATGACTTGTTACTGCTACAGTTTGTGTAACTGACTTGGTAGTAAGTATGAGTTGTTACTGATACAGTTTGTGTAACTGACTTGGTAGTAAGTGTGAGTTATTACTGCTACAGTTTGTGTATCTGACTTGGTAGTAAGTATGAGTTATTACTGCTATAGTTTGTGTAACTGACTTTGTAGTCTCCTTGGTGTATGCTAAAGTACAGAGGTCAATGCTTCATGATACTTGGCTTAGACAAATCAATGACTTTAAATTCAATTTTTATGCCCCCACCGTTGCGGAGGGGGCATTAAGTTTTACCCTTGTCTGTCCATTTGTCTGTCCGTCCGTACGTCCCAAAATTGGGTTCCGTTCTCTAACTTTAGTTTGCCTCAACCAAATGTTATGAAACTTATACACAATGCTTATTACCACCATTTTGGTGGCGTCACTTTTACTGTTCTAGAGTTATGCCCCTTTACAAATCGAAAAATCACTGAATTTTTCGTTTCCGTTCTCTTTCTTAAGTTTGCCTCAACCAAATGGTATGAAACTTGTACACAATGCTTATTACCACAAAACTCTGATCAAGTACAAATTTGGGTAGCGTTACTTCTACGGTTCATGAATTATGTCCCTTTATAATGTTATATGCAAGCGGGGGCATCATCCATCTGTGTCCCATGGACACACTCCCCATTTATTAAGTCTCCCAAACGAAGTTTGGGAAGACTTATTGTTTTTGCTCAGTTCTTATTATTATTATTATTCTTCTTCTTCTTCCGCCGTTTTTAAATTTGAACTTGTCCGCACCTGTTCTCCAAAACCGCTTGTCAGATTAACTTAGGGTTTCACAATATGTTAGACTAACATGTCTAGTGGTGCAATCAGGGTTTTGTTTGTGCAATGGGGTTTATAAAGGGGTACTTTGAGGGGCAAAAAGAAAAGAGGGTTTTACTATAGAACCCTATGGGATTTTATTTTTTTAAATTTTCAAACGATTATAAATTGAAAACCGTTTGTGATAGACACAATCTTTTTAATTGAAAATGTTCTAAATGATAAAGCCCATTAAATGAAATACAGGGTTAGTCCCCAGGGGTCACCCCCACCCCCTGCCATTTAAGAAAGTTCTAATACCTTGTAAGTGGTCAAGATCCCCACCCCTAAACCATATATATTCTGGTTTGTCATGCTAAGATGGTTTGAATGATATACAGGGTTAGTCCCCAGGGGTCATCCCGACCCCCTGCCATTTGAGAAAGTTTTAATATCTTGTAAATGGTCGAGATCCCCACCCCTAAACCATATATATTCTGGTTTGTCATGATAAAGCACATCAAATGAAATACAGGGTTAGTTCCCAGGGGTCACCCCCACCCCCTGCCATTTAAGAAAGTTCTAATATCTTGTAAGTGGTCAAGATCCCCACCCCTAAACCATATATATTCTGGTTTGTCATGCTAAGGTGGTTTGTATGATATACAGGGTTAGTCCCCAGGGGTCATACCGACCCCCTGCCATTTGAGAAAGTTCTAATATCTTGTAAATGGTCGAGATCCCCACCCCTAAACCATGTTTATTCTGGTTTGTCATGATAAAGCACATCAAATGTTATACAGGGTTAGTCCCCAGGGGTCACCCCCACCCCCTACCATTTAAGAAAGTTCTACAATCTTGTAAGTGGTCAAGATCCCCACCCCTAAACCATATATATTCTGGTTTGTCATGCTAAGTTGGTTTGAATGATATACAGGGTTAGTCCCCAGGGGTCATCCTGACCCCCTGCCATTTGAGAAAGTTTCTAATATCTTGTAAATGGTCGAGATCCCCACCCCTAAACCATATATATTCTGGTTTGTCATGATAAAGCACATCAAATGAAATACAGGGTTAGTCCCCAGGGGTCACCCCCACCCCCTGCCATTTAAGAAAGTTCTAAAATCTTGTAAGTGGTCAAGATCCCCACCCCTAAACCATATATATTCTGGTTTGTCATGCGAAGATGGTTTGAATGGTATACAGGGTTAGTCCCCAGGGGTCATCCCGACCCCCTGCCATTTGAGAAAGTTCTAATATCTTGTAAATGGTTGAGATCCCCACCCCTAAACCATATATATTCCTATTTGTCATGTCTCGAACATTTGAATGACGTATACGGTCAGTCCCCAGGGGTTCCCCCACCCCCAATGTTCTAATATCTTGTAAATGGTTGAGATCCCCACCCCTAAACCATATATATTGCTGTTCGTCATGTTATGAACATTTGAATGACGTATAGGGCCAGTCCCCAGGGGTTCCTCCCCACCCCCAATGTTCTAGTATCTTGTAAATGGTCGAGATCCCCACCCCTAAACCATATATATTCTGGTTTGTCATGCCAAGATGATTTGAATGATATACAAGGTAAGTCCCCAGGCATCACTAATGCATATAACTTTACTGGACCAAACCAATTTTCACTGGACGTTGCCCAATGTCAGGCGACCCTGGGAATTACGAATTATGGGAGCTTCGTTTGGGAGACTTCGTAACAGCATCCTGTTACAATCATTTCTTGTTTTTTATGCTTCTCTGCCAAACATGCATCATTTAAGGGTATGTAAGAGCAAGGACTGATTGCCTCTAAATTAAAGTAAAGTAATATATCTTCTCAAGCTGTCCATTTAATATGCTGTATAAAGTACAGTATGTTTATATCTCATTAACATGTAATACATTTACCTACCATTACTTAATCATTCTTAATTTGTGGTGGTATATGTTGTGTGTATGTGTATATGATATACATGTAAACCTTTTGACTTAATTTTTTTTTTAGAACTTTTTCTCAGCAATGCTCTTCCTTCTTTCTTTGTATCACCCTCATTTTCTTAGATCACATTAGAATAAAAAAAAATGATAAAAATGTGTTACTTTGTTACTTTATTCCTTGGTTGGCTTGAAGACAATGTACCACAGATTAGACTGTAAAATGATCATTTGTCAACAGATACAGACTAAAAAAATAGATTGTTCTTTATTTACTATTAAAGTATGAACAATTCTAAATTAAAAATGTACTAATGTTTCTTGTCAAAAATGCGAGGTTATACTTCCAAAAATATTTAGAGATGATAAATTTAGGGGTAGATAGAATTGATAAGAGTTAATAATCTTGTTATTTATTTTTACCTGGTCTTGGTTACTGCAAACAGCACACATTTCTTTTATTCATTGAGTTTCTTATAATTACACTATATTCTTTATTTTTCAGCTTCCATTGTTATTGGCATACCAACAATCAAAAGAGAAAAAATCAGTTACCTAAGTAATACACTGAAGTCTTTAGTTAATGGTCTGACTGCACAGGAGAAAAGGGATTGTCTCATTATTGTATTCATAGCAGAGGTAAGGAAAGATATCTTGTACTCTTAGATAACAGAGTAAATGGTCCTCTATCAGATTGGTAAGGTATTGGATTTCAGTCAAATGTTTTCTAAAGATTTTAAAAATAATTTGAAGTGAATACAAAAAATACTTTAAAAGATAAGGAAACCATGGTTAAGTTGGCTGGGCGTCTTAATTAAAATTGATAGAATTTTTTGATTATTTGTCAAAATGAAGTTTTTATCATGCTTTTTTTCAAAAATATAATAAAAAGTATGGACCACCAGACTTTTTTTTCACGCTACAGGTCGCTCAAAATTGTCAGATTTTGTATAGATTATGCATGGAAAATCAAATTTTGTGTGATAAAAAGAAAACTACTTGATAGAACTTTAAGATACAATGTGAGAAGATAGCTCTTATAACATGCTTTCATATAAGAAAAATACAAAATGGGGTCACCATACTTGTTTTCTTGCTACATATCAAAATAGGTAAATTCACAATACTTTCTATTATAAAAATTACTTTATCTGAGTTATCTCCCCTTATTTGGCAAAGTTGAAAAAAATCTAATCAAACACAAATAAGGTGTTTTTGAGAAATTACAGTCGTAATTATGATAAAACACACAATTTTCTATATTTACATCAAAAGTCTTTAACATAAATTAAATACTACTCTCAAAATTTGCACATTTCATCAAATATCTAGACCAACGTTATCTGCTTCTTCAAAATTCAAGATGGAGGAAGACACCCGAGCCACCTTAAACTGAGTTAGAAATGCACATGTTTACTTAGGTTTTCAAAACATTTTTGTTTTTATCAGTAGTTATTCTGTATGTTTTTGTTTCATGTCAAAAAAGTCATGTAGGTACGCAATTGCTTTATCTCATTTCCATGGAGATTAATTAATCCTGCCCCCTCAGTCATAGGGGGGTAGGACCTTTACCGGGACTCCGGGATCAGGTGTTTTTAAGCTCTGGATTTCGGGATTGATCCTTTCGGGATCTGGGAATTCTTTTTTCGAATTTCGGGATGTTGGGATTTAAATTTTTTTTAAATTCGGGACCTTGGGATGTTTTTAAGCCGGGGATTTCGGGATCAGGACCCCTCCTACCCCCCCCCCCCCCCCCCCCCTCAGTCATGGTCTATTGATTTTGAAACTTTTCCTTATTTTGAATATACAGTTTGTGATGAGGTCACTTTAAGGGGAACCACTAATTCAATGATATTTGGTATGCAGTTGTCCTAGCATTGGCATATGTCTTTTACATGGAGGTTGTTTGGCAATTCAAGCAAGTAATCAGTTTTCCACACTTTTTAGCTCACCTGGCCCGAAGGGCCAAGTGAGCTTTTCTCATCACTTGGCGTCCGTCCTCCGTCGTCCGTCGTCCGTCGTCGGCGTTAACTTTTTACATTTTGAACTTCTTCTAAAGAACCACTGAATGGAATGAAACCAAACATGGCATGAATGTTCCTTATGAGGTGCTCACCAAGTGTTGTTACTTTGTAGCCGATCCATCATCCAAGATGGCCGCCAGCGGGGGACTTAGTTTAACATAGGACCCTATGGGAAATGCATACAAATGACTTCTTTTAGAGAACCACTGAATGGAATAAAACCAAACATGGCATGAATGTTCCTTATGAGGTGCTGACCATGTGTTGTTACTTTGTAGCCGATCCATCATCCAAGATGGCCGCCATTGGGGAACTTAGTTTAACATAGGACCCTATGGGAAATACATACAAATGTCTTCTTTTAGAGAACCACTGAATGGAATGAAACCAAACATGGCATGAATGTTCCTTATGAGGTGCTGACCAAGTGTTGTTACTTTGTAGCCGATCCATCATCCAAGATGGCCGCCAGCGGGGGACTTAGTTTAACATGGGACCCTATGGGAAATACATAAAAATGTCTTCTTTTAGAGAACCACTGAATGGAAAGGAACCAAACATGGCATGAATGTTCCTTATGAGGTGCTGACCAAGTGTTGTTACTTTGCAGTCGGTCCATTATCCAAGATGGCCGACAGCAGGGGACTTAGTTTAACATAGGACCTATGGGAAATACATACAAATGTCTTCTTTAATAGAACCACTGAATGGAATGAAACCAAACATGGCATGAATGTTCCTTATGAGGTGCTCACCAAGTGTTGTTACTTTGTAGCCGATCCATCATCCAAGATGGCCGCCAGCGGGGGACTTAGTTTAACATAGGACCCTATGGGAAATGCATACAAATGACTTCTTTTAGAGAACCACTGAATGGAATGAAACCAAACATGGCATGAATGTTCCTTATGAGGTGCTCACCAAGTGTTGTTACTTTGTAGCCGATCCATCATCCAAGATGGCCGCCAGCGGGGGACTTAGTTTAACATAGGACCCTATGGGAAATGCATACAAATGACTTCTTTTAGAGAACCACTGAATGGAATAAAACCAAACATGGCATGAATGTTCCTTATGAGGTGCTGACCATGTGTTGTTACTTTGTAGCCGATCCATCATCCAAGATGGCTGCCATCGGGGAACTTAGTTTAACATAGGACCCTATGGGAAATGCATACAAATGACTTCTTTTAGAGAACCACTGAATGGAATGAAACCAAACATGGCATGAATGTTCCTTATGAGGTGCTGACCAATTGTTGTTACTTTGTAGCCGATCCATCATCCAAGATGGCCGCCAGCGGGGGACTTAGTTTAACATAGGACCCTATGGGAAATGCATACAAATGACTTCTTTTAGAGAACCACTGAATGGAATGAAACCAAACATGGCATGAATGTTCCTTATGAGGTGCTGACCAAGTGTTGTTACTTTGTAGCCGATCCATCATCCAAGATGGCCGCCAGCGGCAAGGTTGGCAAAAAAGCGGTCAATACTAGTATTGACCAGGCCGGCGGTAAATACCGGTAAATACCGGGAAATACTGGCAAATACTGGTCAATACTGGCAAATACTGGTCAATTGAAATTTTGATAAGATATTACTAGTAAATACAGTCCCTACCTGGTCAACTACAGGGTAAATGGACAAATATATTCACAGGACAGAAAGTCACTTAATTATTTACTACATTGTAAAGGACAAAAACTCACGATTATTTAGTTAACAAGTTTTTGAATATGTAAGGGAAAATCCTTGAAATGAATTCATTGTAATGTTTATGAGATTGATAATGAACATGGTTAAATGAAGATTTATTAAATATTAATCCTACAAAGGATATTTCTTGGTACCATGAAGCCAGTCAAGAAAAAGACTATGACAGCTTGTTTTCTTAACAGTAATTTCAGCAAATGTAATAAAATAATGTCTTAAAAATTAGTCTTTTCTTAATCAAAGAAATAATTCTTTCAAAATTGCATTGTGACTTTCTGTCCTGTGATATTTAGCCCTACATTCAATTACTGTTAGTCATAAAAATATGAAAGTTTTCAAGTCAAAATTATACTTTTTTAATGTTATCTTTTCTTATATAAATTGAAATTATACATGAACACATCATGGACAGTGATTATAAGAATAAAATTAAAGAAAAAGAAAAACAGAAGCCAAAGTATAGATCCTTCAAAATTTCCATTTTCTGTATTTACATGATTTAGTTTTAGAAGATATTCATCATGCAGTTGAATAGTCAGGAATAAAATAATTGTTTTAAACAGTCTTCAAAAATAACTTTTATGACTTTTTTCCTGTTATGTCAACATTTATTAGGGGACAGTTGTAATATTGAATAAACTTTTGACACCTGCTTGCCATTTAATAGGTAATGCCCTGATAATCTAGTCACCTGTAATTCTATTTACCTGTTAAAATCAAACCTTTTCAAGAAAAAAATATATATATTTTATACATGTTGAAATAACTGATATAGCAATTTTATATTCATACCTAAACTATGTTATATCATTACCCATAAGAACTGAATAAGTCATTATTCATGCTAATAGTTGATAAAACATACCAATATCAATCCTTTTTATAAACTGAATCATGCCATATGAATAAAGTTAAAATAATTTCCCCTATCAACTAAGATTTAACTAACATTGATAGTAAAATCTGTCAAAAGAACCATGAAAATTTCAATTGTCCAGTATTTGCCAGTATTGACCACTTGAGGAGTATTGACCGGGGCGGTAAATACCGGTAAATACCACTGGTAAATACCGGGGGTGGTATTTACCGCCCAACCTTGGCCAGCGGGGGACTTAGTTTAACATAGGACCCTATGGGAAATGCATACAAATGACTTCTTTTAGAGAACCACTGAATGGAATAAAACCAAACATGGCATGAATGTTCCTTATGAGGTGCTGACTATGTGTTGTTACTTTGTAGCCGATCCATCATCCAAGATGGCAGCCATTGGGGAACTTAGTTTAACATAGGACCCTATGGGAAATACATACAAATGTCTTCTTTTAGAGAACCACTGAATGGAATGAAACCAAACATGGCATGAATGTTCCTTATGAGGTGCTGACCAAGTGTTGTTACTTTGTAGCCGATTCATCATCCAAGATGGCCGCCAGCGGGGGACTTAGTTTAACATGGGACCCTATGGGAAATACATAAAAATGTCTTCTTTTAGAGAACCACTGAATGGAATGGAACCAAACATGGCATGAATGTTCCTTATGAGGTGCTGACCAAGTGTTGTTACTTTGCAGTCGGTCCATTATCCAAGATGGCCGACAGCAGGGGACTTAGTTTAACATAGGACCTATGGGAAATACATACAAATGTCTTCTTTAATAGAACCACTGAATGGAATGAAACCAAACATGGCATGAATCTTCCTTATGAGATGCTGACCAAGTGTTGTTACTTTGTAGCGGATCCATCATCCAAGATGGCCGCCAGCGGGGGACTTAGTTTTACATAGGACCCTTTGGGAAATACATAAAAATGTCTTCTTTTAGAGAACCAATAAATGGAATGGAACCAAACATGGCATGAATGTTCCTTATGAGATGTTGACCAAGTGTTGTTACTTTGCAGTCGGTCCATCATCCAAGATGGCCGCCAGCGGGGGGACTTAGTTGAACATAAGACCCTATGTGAAATACATACAAATGTCTTCTTTTAGAGAACCACTGAATGGAATGAAACAAAACATGGGATGAATGTTCCTTATAAGGTGCTGACCAAGTGTTGTAACTTTGCAGTCGGTCCATCATCCAGGATGGCCGACAGCGGGGGACTTAGTTTAACATTGGACCCTATGGGAAATACATACAAATGTCTTCTCTTAGAGAACCAGTGAATGGAATGAAACCAAACATGGCATGAATGTTCCTTATAAGGTGCTGACCAAGTGTTGTTACTTTGCAGCCGATCCATCATCCAAGATGGCTTCCAGTGGGTGACTTAGTTAACATAGGACCCTACTGGAAATACATACAAAATGTCTTCTTTTAGAGAACCTCTGAATGGAATGGAACCAAACATGGCATGAATGTTCCTTATGAGGTGTTGTCCAAGTGTTGTTTCTATGCAGCCGATCCATCATCGAAGATGGCCGCCAGCGGGGGACTTAGTTTAACATAGGACCCTATGGGAAATACATACAAATGTCTTCTTTTAGAGAACCACTGAATGGAATGAAACCAAACATGGCATGAATGTTCCTAATGAGGTGCTGACCAAGTGTTGTTACTTTGCAGTCGGTCCATCATCCAAGATGGCCGACACCGGGGGACTTAGTTTAACATAGGACCCTATGGGAAATACATACAATTGTTTTCTTTTAGAGAACCACTGAATGGAATGGAACCAAACATGGCATGAATGTTCCTTATGAGTTGCTGACCAAGTGTTGTTACTTTGCAGTCGATCCATCATCCAAGATGGCCGCTAGGGGGGGGGGGGGGGGGGGGCTTAGTTTAACATAGGACCCTATGGGAAATACATCGTCCGTCATCGGCGTTAACTTTTTACATTTTGAACTTCTTCTAAAGAACCACTGAATGGAATGAAACCAAACATGGCATGAATGTTCCTTATGAAGTGCTGACCAAGTGTTGCTACTTTTTTGCCGATTTACTGTTCAAGATGGCCACCAGGATATTTTATTAAATAACGGGACCAATATTAATCAAAATTTGGCCTCAATCATTATTTGGGTATCTGTTATGATTTTTATCTATCTTTACATGATTTCTAAAACCAAAGTAGAGTCAGGTGAGCGACACAGGCTCTTGAGAGCCTCTAGTTTCTTTGTGCTTGCAGACATTTATTTGATATTTGGTATATAGTTTTATTGTCTCGCCTGCGACAAAAGTTTCAGTATGTGAGACATAGGCTGTGACGATGTAAACTATTTGTATAAAGCTTTATATTTCAGAAGGTAGAAGACCTGGATGCTTCATACCTTGTATACAGATACCTTATGATACGAAGTTTCTGTCTGTCAATTGTCCATTGTCCTTGACCTTGTTTTCATGGTTCAACGACTGTTTCCAAAATATTTTTAGTTTTTTTGTCATGTGAATTTCTCACTTATTGTGAGTAATAGGATATTTGGTATATTGGTTCCTTGCAACATCTACATGTGTGTCAGACAGGATTCAGCTGACATGACTTCATTTCATGGATCAGTGATCAAGGTTAAAGTTGCATGATAAGGTCTGTTTCTCAGTTACTATAAGCAGTAGGTCAACTATATGTGGTGTATGGAATGGTTGTATTGGGTACATGTCATTCTGGCAGGTTTCGTCTGACCTTGACATCATTTTCATGGTCATTAGTCAATGTTAAGTTTTTATATGACGGCAAAAAAATTTTGGGGTCTTATATTGCTATCACTTCGTCGTCCGAAGACATTTGGTTTCCAGACAATAACTTAAGTTCAAGTGTATGGATCTCTACGAAATTTTACCAAAAGGTTCAATACCATAAAAGAAAGGTTGGGATTGTCTTTGGGGTGATGGTCCCAACTGTTTAGGAATTAGGGGCCAAAAAGGGGCCCAAAACAAGCACTTTTCTAGTTTCAGGATTATAACTTGTGTAAAAGTATTTTGATTGCTCTGAAATTGTACCACAAGGTTTAATACCACAAGTAGAAGGTTCTATTCATTTTGAGGGTAATTGCTCAAACCGTTCAGGAATAAGGGGCCAAAAAGGGTCTAAAACATGCATTTTTCTTGTTGTCAATAATTTGTGTTAAAGTGATATATGTCTCTTTAATTTTACCACTTTTTACAAAAAGAAAATTTTCTTCAAATGTTTTATTTTTTTGGAAAAAGGGGGGATGGGGGATTTTTTTTTTGGGGGGGGGGGGGGGCAAATTTTTTTCCTCAAGATTTAAGAAACATTAAAAGAAAATTTCTTCAAACATTATTTTTTTTTGAAAAAGGGGGAGAGGGGGGGGGGGGGGGGGGGGGAGTTAAAACTTTTTAAACAGATTTACTAAGTATTGCGCAACAGCACAGTGTACTGCAGAAAGCAAGAAATCTTCAATTGAATATAAATTCAAATCATATAACCAATTTCAAGTTCTTTGACTACATTTATTCTGTGTCAGAAACCTTTAATGTGTCAAATATTTAATTACAATCCATATTCAGACCTGTATCAAGTTTGAATCAGGGCTCATGCTAACAGGCGACTAGGGCGAAGTTGTCGCTTTCCCGTCCATCACTTCGCTTTGCCCGACCCTCAAAAGCGAAAACAAGTCGCCCTGTGGTTTACGATACTCGGTTTCGTCATCGGCGATATTCAATTTTTACCAAGACGATGAAACAGCAATTTTTCATTTAAAATTAAAGAAATTCAAGGCATAAACGATTTATTTTCTTCAGAAAATAGGTTAAATCATTGATTTCAAAGTTGGTGGCATGTTATTTCATAAAAACAATTTTTTATCACTTCCGGTACTTGTTAGCATACATCAAATCATTCTAACTACTGCAAGGTACCATACCTCAAAATTTTAGGAATTAGGGGCCAAAAAGGGGCTAAAAACAAGCACTTTTCTAGTTTCCAGACAATAACTCATGATTATGATGTCATTTTTATACGACCGCAAAAAAATTTTTGTGGTTGTATATTGGTATGACGTTGGCGTCGTCGTCGTCGCTGTCGTCATCCGGCGTCGTCGTCCGAAGACGCATTAGTTTTCGCACTCTAACTTTAGTTTAAGTGAATGGATCTCTGTGAAATTTTACCATAAGGTTCAATACCACAAAAGGAAGGTGGGGATTGATTTTGGGGGTTATGGTACCAACAGTTAAAAAATTAGGGGCCAAAAAGGGGCCAAAAATAAGCATTTTCTAGTTTCCAGACAATAACTGTGGAACGGTGTATGGATCTCTCTGAAATTATACTACAAGTTTCCATACCACAAAGGGATGGTTAGGATTTTCTTTGGGGGGTTATGGCTCAAACCGTTTAAGAATTAGGGGCAAAAAAGGGGGAAAAACAAGGTTGTCCTGGTTAATGGACAAATACTTTAGTACAAAACATAATTTAAAGCAGTGTAAGGGAGATAAATCAAATACATCATTGAAATTATCTCCCTTACACTGCTTTTAAATTATGTATAAAGTAATGGTTAATGAACAATTAAGATAATTTAAGCTTGAATGTTGTGTCCATACTTTCCCCAACTGTTCAGGGTTCGACCTCTGCGGTCGTATCAAGCTGCGCCCAGCGAAGCATTTTATTGATTATGGGCCCAGTTTTCGAGTTGGTCCAAGATAGGGTCCAGTATTTAAACTTTGTTTGATTTCAACAAAAATTGAATATATGGGGTTCTTTGATATGCTGAATCTAAACATGTGTTTAGATTTTTGATTATGGGCCCAGTTTTCAAGTTTTCAAGTTTGTCCAAGTTGGGGTCCAAATTAAACTTTGTTTGAATTTAACAAAAATTGAATATATGGGGTTCTTTGATATGCTGAATCTAACCATGTATTTTGATTTTGGACATTGGACCATAATAGGTAAATTAAAAAAATTCAAGTTCTTAGACCACATTCTTTCTGTGTCAGAAACCTATGCTGTGTCAAATATTTAATAACAATCCAAATTCAGAGCTGTATCAAGCTTGAATGTTGTGTCCATACTTGCCCCAACTGTTCAGGGTTCGACCTCTGCGGTCGTATCAAGCTGCACCCCAGCGAAGCATTTTATCTATTTTAATACTTTTATGATGTACTTAAATGGGTTTTTATGGTTGCCAATTCCTAACTGTCAATTTATTTTTAGAAGTTACTTTTAAATGCTGATGAAGGAATTTTATTTTTAGATATTACTATTAAAAGTTGTTGATGAAGGTTTTTAGTCGAGCCTGCGACTTTTGTCGCAGAAAGCTCGACATAGGGATAGCGATCCGGCGGCGGCGGCTACGGCGGCGGCGGCGTTAGCTAACTTCTTAAAAGCTTTATATTTTAGAAGATGGAAGACCTGGATGCTTCATACTTTGTATATGGATGCCTCATGTTACGAAGTTTCCGTCAGTCACATGTCCAATGTCCTTGACCTCATTTTCATGGTTCAGTGACTACTTGAAAAAAAAGTTCAGATTTTTTGTAATGTTAAATTCTCTCTTATTATAAGTAATAGGATAACTATATTTGGTATCTGCGTACCTTGCAAGGTCCTCATGCCCGTCAGACAGTTTTCACTTGACCTCGACCTCATTTCATGGATCAGTGAACAAGGTTAAGTTTTGGTGGTCAAGTCCATATCTCAGATACTATAAGCAATAGGTCTAGTATATTCGGTGTATGGAAGGACTGTAAGGTGTACATGTCCAACTGGCAGGTGTCATCTGACCTTGACCTCATTTTCATGGTTCAGTGGTTATAGTTTAGTTTTTGTGTTTTGGTCTGTTTTTCTTATTCTGTATGCAATAGGTCTACTATATTTGGTGTATGGAATGATTGTAAGGTGTACATGTCTAGCTGGCAGGTGTCATCTGACCTTGACCTCATTTTCATGGTTTAGTGGTCAAAGTTAAGTTTTTGAGTTTTGGTCTTTTTTTCTAATACTGCATGCAATAGGTCAGCTATATTTGGTGTATGGAATGATTGTAAGGTGTACATGTCTAGCTGGCAGGTGTCATCTTACCTTGACCTCATTTTCATGGTTCAGTGGTCAAAGTTAAGTTTTTGAGTTTTGGTCTTTTTTTCTAATACTATATGCAATAGTTCAACTATATTTGGTGTATGGAAATATTTTATGATCTATATGTCAGTCACGCAGGTTTTATTTGACCTTGACCTCATTTTCAAGGTTCATTGCTCAGTGTTAAGTTTTTGTGTTTTCGTCTGTTTTTCTTAAACTATAAGCAATAGGTCAACTATATTTGTTGTATGGAAGAATTGTTAGCTGTACATGCCTGCCTAGCATGGTTCATCTGACCTTGACCTCATTTTCATGGTTCATTGGTCAATGTTGAGTTTACTTGGTTAATGTAAAGTTTATGTGACAGTTGTAATAAAGCTTTATATTTAGGACTATCAACATAATATCAATGATTAGTAAAGAAGGCGAGACATTTCAGCGTGTGCACTCTTGTTAATTTGAGCCATGACTATGATGTCATTTTCTATTTTAATATTTTTATTGTCGAGCCTGCGACTTTTGTTGCAGAAAGCTCGACATAGGGATAGTGATCCGGCGGTGGCGGCGTTAGCTAACTTCTTAAAAGCTTTATATTTTAGAAGGTGGAAGATCTGGATGCTTCATACTTTGTATATGGATGCCTCATGTTACGAAGTTTCCCTCAGTCACATGTCCAATGTCCTTGACCTCATTTTCATGGTTCAGTGACTACTTGAAAAAAAAGTTAAGATTTTTTGTAATGTTAAATTCTCTCTTATTATAAGTAATAGGATAACTATATTTGGTATGTGCGTACCTTGCTAGGTCCTCATGCCCGTCAGACAGTTTTCACTTGACCTTGACCTCATTTCATGGATCAGTGAACAAGGTTAAGTTTTGGTGGTCAAGTCCATATCTCAGATACTATAAGCAATAGGTCTAGTATATTCGGTGTATGGAAGGACTGTAAGGTGTACATGTCCAACTGGCAGGTGTCATCTGACCTTGATCTCATTTTCATGGTTCAGTGGTTAAAGTTAAGTTTTTGTGTTTTGGTCTATTTTTCTCATACTGTATGCAATAGGTCAACTATATTTGGTGTATGGAATGATTGTAAGGTGTACATGTCTAGCTGGCAGGTGTCATCTGACCTTGACCTCATTTTCATGGTTCAGTGGTCAAAGTTAAGTTTTTGAGTTTTGGTCTTTTTTTCTAATACTATATGCAATAGTTCAACTATATTTGGTGTATGGAAATATTTTATGATCTATATGTCAGTCATGCAGGTTTTATTTGACCTTGACCTCATTTTCAAGGTTCATTGCTCAGTGTTAAGTTTTTGTGTTTAGGTCTGTTTTTCTTAAACTATAAGCAATAGGTCAACTATATTTGTTGTATGGAAGAATTGTTAGCTGTACATGCCTGCCTAGCATGGTTCATCTGACCTTGACCTCATTTTCATGGTTCATTGGTCAATGTTTAGTTTCCTCGATTAATGTTAAGTTTATGTGACAGTTGTAAGAAAGCTTTATATTTAGGACCATCAACATAATATCAATGATTAGTAAAGAAGGCTAGACATTTCAGCGTATGCACTCTTGTGATGTATTTAAATGGGCTTTTATGGTTAAAAAAAAGCATTTTTCTAGTTCCAGACAGTAACTTGTGATTAAGTGTATGGATCTCTCTAAAATTGTACTACAAGGTTCCATACTACAAAGGAAAGACTGCAATTGAGTTTGATGGTTAATTCTAAAAGGGGGATTCAAAAAGTTTAGGGGGAAGGGGGGTTTCCAATTTTTTATACGACCGGAAATAAATTTTTGCGGTCGTATATTGGTATGTCGTCGTCGTCGTCCGATGACACATTGGTTTTCGCACTCTAACTTTAGTTTAAGTGAATGGATCTCTTTGAAATTTTACCATAAGGTTCAATACCACAAAAGGAAGGTGGGGATTGATTTTGGGGGTTATAGTACCAACAGTTAAGGAAAAAGGGGCCAAAAATAAGCATTTTCTAGTTTCCACACAATAACTGTGGAACGGTGTATGGATCTCTCTGAAATTATACTACAAGTTTCCATACCACAAAGGGATGGTTAGGATTTTCTTTGGAGGGTTATGGCTCAAACCGTTTAGGAATTAGGGGCAAAAAAGGGGGAAAAACAAGGTTGTCCTGGTTAATGGACAAATACTTTAGTACAAAACATAATTTAAAGCAGTGTAAGGGAGATAAATCAAATACATCATTGAAATTATCTCCCTTACACTGCTTTTAAATTATGTATAAAGTAATGGTTAATGAACAATTAAGATAATTTAAAACAGTGTAAGGGAGGTAATCCAAATACAAAGTTTTGGTTACTTCCCTTACACTGCTTTTAAATTATGTTTAAAGAAATGCATATTTATAAAGGAAGACCAGTAAAAATATCTGCAAATGTTGCATCTTTTTTTTTTACAAAAAAATCCATATGAAAGATTTGACACTATATTTTAAATTCTATTATAAAATAGATTAAGTTAGCACTATTGTATATTTAAATGGGTAATTATGGTTGCAAACTCCATTGGAAATTTGAATTGAGATTATGACCATATCTTGAGGGAAAGAATTTTTTGGGGGAAAAAAGGGGGGGGGGGGGTAAAAAGAAATTGTGGGGGGTCAATTTTTTCTCATTTCAGATTTCAGAAATTAAAAAGAATTATTCTTCAATTATTATTTTTTTTTCAAATTTCAAATGTTGAAAAATTTCAAGAAGTAATCTTTAATTGCACAGTATGGTGCATTAGATTTGTAAAATCTTTGACCACATTTATTTATTTGTTATGCCGAATCTAACCATGTATTTAGATTTTTAATTTTGGGTCCAGTTTGTTTTCAAATTGGTCTACATTAAGGTCCAAAGGGTCCAAAATTTAACTTTGTTTGATTTTAACAAAAATTGAATGTATGGGGTTCTTTGATATGCTGAATCTAAACATGTATTTAGATTTTTGATTTTTGGCCCAGTTTTCAAGTTGGTCCAAATTGGGGTCCAAAATTAAACTTTGTTTGATTTAAAAAAAAATTGAATATATGGGGTTCTTTGATATGCTGAATCTAACCATGTATTTAGATTTTTTATTTGTGGACCCTGCTATCAAATTGGTTCATATTGAGGTCAAAAGGGTCCAAAATTAAACTTTTCGTTTGATTTCATCAAAAATTGAATTATTGGGGTTCTTTGATATGCCAAATCTAACAGTGTATTTAGATATTTAATTTTGGGTCCTTTTTTTTAAATTGGTCTACATTAAGGGCCAAAAGGATCTAAAATTAAACTTAGTTGGATTTTAACAAAAATTGAATTCTTTGGGTTCTTTGATATGCTGAATCTAAACATGTGTTTAGATTTTTGATTATGGGCCCAGTTTTCAAGTTTGTCCAAGTTGGGGTCCAAAATTAAACTTTGTTTGATTTCAACAAAAATTGAATATATGGGGTTCTTTGATATGCTGAATCTAAACATGTATTTAGATTTTTGATTTTTGGCCCAGTTTTCAAGTTGGTCCAAATTGGGGTCCAAAATTAAACTTTGTTTGATTTCAACAAAAATTGAATATATGGGGTTCTTTGATATGCTGAATCTAACCATGTTTTTAGATTTTTTGTTTTTGGGCCCGCTATCAAATTGGTTCATATTGAGGTCAAAAGGGTCCAAAATTTTAACTTTGTTTGATTTCATCAAAAATTGAATTATTGGGGTTCTTTGATATGCCAAATCTAACCGTGTATTTAGATTTTTAATTTTGGGTCCCGTTTTTTAAATTGGTCTACATTAAGGTCCAAAGGGTCCAAAATTAAACTAAGTTTGATTTTAACAAAAATTGAATTCTTGGGGTTCTTTGATATGCTGAATCTAAACATGTGTTTAGATTTTTGATTATGGGCCCAGTTTTCAAGTTGGTCCAAGTTGGGGTCCAAAATTAAACTTTTTTTTATTTCAACAAAAATTGAATATATTGGGTTCTTTGATATGCTGAATCTAACCATGTATTTAGATTTTTTATTTGTGGGCCCCACTATCAAATTGGTTCATATTGAGGTCAAAAGGGTCCAAAATTAAACTTTGTTTGATTTCATCAAAAATTGAATTATTGGGGTTCTTTGATATTCCAAATCTAACCGTGTATTTAGATTTTTAATTTTGGGTCCCTTTTTTAAATTGGTCTACATTAAGGTCCAAAGGGTCCAAAATTAAACTTAGTTTGATTTTAACAAAAATTGAATTCTTTGGGTTCTTTGATATGCTGAATCTAAACATGTGTTTAGATTTTTGATTATGGGCCCAGTTTTCAAGTTTGTCCAAGTTGGGGTCCAAAATTAAACTTTGTTTGATTTCAACAAAAATTGAATATATGGGGTTCTTTGATATGCTGAATCTAACCATGTATTTCGATTTTGGACATTGGACCATAATAGGTAAATTAAAAAAAATCAAGTTCTTAGACCACATTCTTTCTGTGTCAGAAACCTATGCTGTGTCAAATATTTAATCACAATCCAAATTCAGAGCTGTATCAAGCTTGAATGTTGTGTCCATACTTGCCCCAACTGTTCAGGGTTAGACCTCTGCGGTCGTATCAAGTTGCGCCCAGCGAAGCATTTTATTTTACAAGGGTCCATATTTTTTTTCTTCAGAATTTTCAAAATTTCAAATATTTGAAAAGTTTCAAGAAGAAATCTTCAATTGCACAGTATTGCGCATTAGATTTGTAAGATCTTTGACCACATTTATTTTGTGTCAGAAACCTATATTATGTCAAAAATTTGATCCCAATCCAAATTCAGATAGTATCAAGCTTGAATATTGTGTCCAAATTTGCCCCAACTGTTCAGGGTTCGACCATTGCAGTGGTATCAGGCTGCGCTCAGCAAAGCATTTTATTTAATTGATATAACAACTTCTTTTCCTTTTCGATATCAAAAAAAATCTTTTTTATTAGTGCCAGATATTTAATTGTTTTTTTCTGCAAAGAGGACTCATATGATTGTGCAACTAGATATGATAAAATTAAACAACTTTAAATTTGAACAGTTACTTTAATTGTATACCCAGGTACAAATTGAACAATATAAAAAAATAAGATACATATGGCCCTTTATGTATTAAAGAAAAACCAAACAGTGTAGCGCCACGAGCGAACAAGCACTTCTCTTTCAAATCTCACCACTTCTCCATCTCAATTTCAAAAAGAGAAGTCACTTCTCCCTATGATTCTGAAGTAGTGTGAGCCCTGTGAATATTGTGTCCATTTTTGCCCCTACTGTTCATGGTTGAACCTCTGCGGTCGTATCCAGCTGCGCTTGGCGAAGCAGTTTATTGTGTTTTGATCTGTTTTTCAAGTACTATAAGTAATAGGTCAACTATATTTGGTGTATAGAATGATTGCCTCAACCAAATGCTATGAAACTTATACACAATACTTATAACCACAAAATACAGATCAAGTTTGAATTTTGGTGGTGTCACTTTTACAGTTGTAGAGTTATGCCAGTTTACAAATGGAAAAATTGCTAAATTTTCTTTTCATTTCTGTTCTCTAACTTAAGTTTGCTTCAACCAAATATTTTGAAACTTATACACAATACTTATTACCACAAAACTCAGATCAAGTACAAATTTGTGTAGTGTCACTTTTACCGTTCTTCAGTTATGTCCCTTTATAACTTTATATGATATGCAGGTGGGGGCATCATCTGTGTCCCATGGACACATTCCCCATTTATTGGAATATAGATTTACCGTGACAAGTTACAGATCAAGTTCAAATTTGTTTGGTTTCAGCTGATTTTTTTTTAGGTTTATGGTCCTTGGACTTAGAAAATATACTCATGTAAAACTGATTAGTTTTCCGCACTTTTTTGTCATTTTGTCCCAGTACAAGGAATTTTTAACCAGTAGTGGACTATGTATTGTCACGCAAATAATCAGTTTTCCCCACTTTTTTTTGTTATGCTTGAAGATATTGATGTGATATTTGTTATATAGTTTAACCATGACGAGTTACAGATCAAGTTTGAATTTTGTTTGGTTTGGATATTTTTTTGCAGAGTTATAGTCCTTGGACTTAGAAAATACACTCATGTAATCTGTTTTCCACATTTTTTTGTCATTTTGTTCCAGTACAAGGAATTTTTAACCAGTAGTGGACTATGTATTGCCATGCATACTCTTTTAAAATGCTTGTTAATTTCAACATTTGTATTATACTATCAAAGTAACATACACACAAGACATATCTCTGTGTCAACAGATTATTTTTATAAATGTCTGGATAGAATTTCACTGAAACAGGGGTGGCTGAGTGGTCTAAGTAGTCAAACTACTCTATCACTAGCCTGTCAACACTGAGGTTGTGAGTTCAAATCCCACATGTGGCAGATGCACTCAACTCCAATCTTAATTGACTATGATTGTCAGTTTTCCTACCGAAGGTGGGTGTTTCTCACTGGGCACTCCGGCTTCCTCCACCAATAAAATCTGACCACCACAAAATAGCACAATATTGCTGAAAGTGGCATTAAACACCAATCAACCAATCACTCACTGAAACAGACCATACAAAATATTTCATTAATTATTGAAATATGATTAGATAGAAAATCAAGGTTTAAACAATCTTTTTTGCTAGACATCAGTACACTTTTCCAATCATAAAAGTGACATGAGGAGTAATAGCTACATTTATTTAAGTGTTAAAACATGTTGCTACATCTAATCCTTGTACTTAAAGACCAGGGAAGTTGCTGAATTTAGCAAGTAGATTTTGTGAAAATGTAACATAATTTTGACAGTTGGGGTTGACCTTTTTACCTGACTGTCAAAAAGTGCCAGACACCAATCTATCGGTGGTTGTCCGTTGCTGTAAACTTAAAAGAAAACTTTTCTAAAACTACTTGGCCAAATATTACCAAATGTTATCTAAATGTTCCTTAGGGTATCTAGTTTAAAAATAGTATCTGGGGATGTGATCCATCAACAAAGATGGCTGCTGTTGCTAAAAATAGAACATAGGGGTAAAATGCAGTTTTGGGCTTATATCTCAAAAACTAAAGCAGATAGAGCAATCCGACATGAGATAAAGTGATCATTAGGTTGAGGTCTATATCCTGTAAAAAGCATACGTGTTCAGCAGATATGATCTACAAATAATTCAACTTGACAAAAATTGTAAATCAGCCCCTTATGGTAGTTATATCCCTTGAAATATGTTTTTTTATCCATTTTTGTCGAGCCTGCGACTTTTGTCGCAGAAAGCTCGACATAGGGATAGTGATCCGGCGGCGGCGGCGGCGTTAGCTAACTTCTTAAAAGCTTTATATTTTAGAAGATGGAAGACCTGGATGCTTCATACTTTGTATATGGATGCCTCATGTTACGAAGTTTCCGTCAGTCACATGTCCAATGTCCTTGACCTCATTTTCATGGTTCAGTGACTACTTGAAAAAAAAGTTCAGATTTTTTGTAATGTTAAATTCTCTCTTATTATAAGTAATAGGATAACTATATTTGGTATGTGCGTACCTTGCAAGGTCCTCATGCCCGTCAGACAGTTTTCACTTGACCTCGACCTCATTTCATGGATCAGTGAACAAGGTTAAGTTTTGGTGGTCAAGTCCATATCTCAGATATTATAAGCAATAGGTCTAGTATATTCGGTGTATGGAAGGACTGTAAGGTGTACATGTCCAACTGGCAGGTGTCATCTGACCTTGACCTCATTTTCATGGTTCAGTGGTTATAGTTTAGTTTTTGTCGAGCCTGCGACTTTTGTCGCAGAAAGCTCGACATAGGGATAGCGATCCGGCGGCGGCGGCGGCGGCGGCGGCGTTAGCTAACTTCTTAAAAGCTTTATATTTTAGAAGATGGAAGACCTGGATGCTTCATACTTTGTATATGGATGCCTCATGTTACGAAGTTTCCGTCAGTCACATGTCCAATGTCCTTGACCTCATTTTCATGGTTCAGTGACTACTTGAAAAAAAAGTTCAGATTTTTTGTAATGTTAAATTCTCTCTTATTATAAGTAATAGGATAACTATATTTGGTATGTGCGTACCTTGCAAGGTCCTCATGCCCGCCAGACAGTTTTCACTTGACCTCGACCTCATTTCATGGATCAGTAAACAAGGTTAAGTTTTCGTGGTCAAGTCCATATCTCAGATACTATAAGCAATAGGTCTAGTATATTCGGTGTATGGAAGGACTGTAAGGTGTACATGTCCAACTGGCAGGTGTCATCTGACCTTGACCTCATTTTTATGGTTCAGTGGTTATAGTTAAGTTTTTGTGTTTTGGTCTGTTTTTCTTATACTGTATGCAATAGGTCTACTATATTTGGTGTATGGAATGATTGTAAGGTGTACATGTCTAGCTGGCAGGTGTCATCTGACCTTGACCTCATTTTCATGGTTTAGTGGTCAAAGTTAAGTTTTTGAGTTTTGGTCTTTTTTTCTAATACTGCATGCAATAGGTCAGCTATATATGGTGTATGGAATGATTGTAAGGTGTACATGTCTAGCTGGCAGGTGTCATCTTACCTTGACCTCATTTTCATGGTTCAGTGGTCAAAGTTAAGTTTTTGAGTTTTGGTCTTTTTTTCTAATACTATATGCAATAGTTCAACTATATTTGGTGTATGGAAATATTTTATGATCTATATGTCAGTCACGCAGGTTTTATTTGACCTTGACCTCATTTTCAAGGTTCATTGCTCAGTGTTAAGTTTTGTGTTTTCGTCTGTTTTTCTTAAACTATAAGCAATAGGTCAACTATATTTGTTGTATGGAAGAATTGTTAGCTGTACATGCCTGCCTAGCATGGTTCATCTGACCTTGACCTCATTTTCATGGTTCATTGGTCAATGTTAAGTTTATGTGACAGTTGTAATAAAGCTTTATATTTAGGACTATCAACATAATATCAATGATTAGTAAAGAAGGCGAGACATTTCAGCGTGTGCACTCTTGTTGTGTTTTGGTCTGTTTTTCTTATTCTGTATGCAATAGGTCTACTATATTTGGTGTATGGAATGATTGTAAGGTGTACATGTCTAGCTGGCAGGTGTCATCTGACCTTGACCTCATTTTCATGGTTCAGTGGTCAAAGTTAAATTTTTGAGTTTTGGTCTTTTTTTCTAATACTCCATGCAATAGGTCAGCTATATTTGGTGTATGGAATGATTGTAAGGTGTACATGTCTAGCTGGCAGGTGTCATCTTACCTTGACCTCATTTTCATGGTTCAGTGGTCAAAGTTAAGTTTTTGAGTTTTGGTCTTTTTTTCTAATACTATATGCAATAGTTCAACTATATTTGGTGTATGGAAATATTTTATGATCTATATGTCAGTCACGCAGGTTTTATTTGACCTTGACCTCATTTTCAAGGTTCATTGCTCAGTGTTAAGTTTTTGTGTTTAGGTCTGTTTTTCTTAAACTATAAGCAATAGGTCAACTATATTTGTTGTATGGAAGAATTGTTAGCTGTACATGCCTGCCTAGCATGGTTCATCTGACCTTGACCTCATTTTCATGGTTCATTGGTCAATGTTTAGTTTACTTGGTTAATGTTAAGTTTATGTGACAGTTGTAATAAAGCTTTATATTTAGGACTATCAACATAATATCAATGATTAGTAAAGAAGGCGAGACATTTCAGCGTGTGCTCTCTTGTTTTCTTTTTTTTTCAGAAATCATTATAGATAGAGAGTAATTGTAAATAGCAAAGATGTTAAGCACAATAAGATCTACAAATAAGTCAACATGGCTGAAATTGTCGACTGACTCCTTTTAGGAGTTATTGCCCCTGAATTACCATTTTTATACGCCCGTTTACGGGACGTATTATGGTATACTGTTGTCCGTCCGTCTGTCCCTCCGTCTGTCCGTCGTCAACATGTCGGACATTAACTGAAAAATGCTTTCACCAATTTGCATAAAACTTTGGTGAATTGTTCATATTTATTGACGTGAGCTCCCTTTCGTTTTTTATAAAATTCAGATTTTACCTTTTCGATTTATGGGGTTTTATTCATTAAAAAAAGGGGGATTTTCCAGTTTTCGGACAATAAGTCAAGAATGCTTTCACCAACTTGCAAGAAATTGTGGTGAATTGTTTATATCTATTGACATGAGCTCCCTTTTGATTTTTATAAATTTTAGATTTTACGTTTCCGAGTTACAGGGTTTTATTCATAAAAAAAGGGGGGATTTTCCAGTTTTTGGACAAAAACTCAAAAATGCTTACAGCAATTCTTATGAAACTTTGGTGAATTGTTTGTATGTATTGATGTAAGCTCCCTTTAGAATTTTATAAATTTTACATTTTACATTTCTGAGTTATGGGGTTTTATTCATTAAAAAAAGGGGTGATTTTCCAGTTTTCGGACAATAACTCAAAAATGCTGTCACCAATTCTCATGAAACTTTGGTGAATTGTTTATATCTATTGATGTAAGCTCCCTTTTTATTTTCATACATTTCTTATATGACATTGAGAATTAATTGAACTTTATTTGTTTATAGTCTGACAACAGATATACTTAGTATTGCACAACAGCAAGAAATCTTTAATTGAATATAAATTCAATTCATATGACCAATTTCAAGTTTTTTGACTACATTTATTCAGAAACCTATAATATGTCAAATATTTAATTACAATCCAAATTCAGACCTGAATCAAGCTTGAATATTGTGTCCATTTTTGCCCCAACTGTTCAGGGTTGGACCTCAGCGTATCTAGCTGCGCTCAGCGAAGCAGTTTATTACCCATTTTATGATTTTTTTACAAAATAAGATCTACAAACAAGTCAACACAGTTGAAATGATGATTTATAAAGTATAAATCAATTATTTAGTTATACTATTTTCTGTTATTGTTTAATTAATGTGCATAATGCTTACAATTGAAAAGGTTGTAGTCTGAAGTTTTAGTCAGAAAAAATGGATTACCTGACTTATTTTATATTTCTTTTTTAGCCATACAACAATGACTATGTTGAATCAGTTGGGAGAGAAGTACAAACCAGGTATGTGAATAGTTCAATACATTATCAGAATAATTAAAACTCTCACTTTAGGGACATTTGTGATGGTGGGGTAATTAACATGAAATCATCAAGTTAAACAAATTAAGGTGGTACCAAACACCTTGACTCAAATTAATTTGGCTCGTTTAATTTTCATCAAAAATATAAAAATTTCCAAAAGCTTGAACCACACACTTTATCGGAAAAATTTCATTGGATATATAGCAGTTTGACAAACACTAATTTTGATCATTGAGAAGCTTAATATTTCCTTAACAATAGAACATGATTAAAACGTTTAGCTGATTATTAAAGAGTTATCTCCCTGTAGTGTTATGTACCAACTTAAAAAAAACTCAAAATTCACATTATTCCTTATTACAAACAACAACAACAAATTTTTGAATTTTTTGGTGTTTGCAGTTTTAACAGTGTTTGTCTAAACTGTGATGAAAGTCATTTTCATGGTTCAGTGACTGCTTGCGGTTGTATATTGGTATCATGTCGTTGTCTTCAGAAGACACATTGGTTTCTGAACAATAACTTTTGTTTAAGTGTATGGATTTCTATGAAATTTTACCATAAGGTTTATGACCACAAAAGGAAGGTTGGGATTGATTTTGGGGGTTATGGTCCTAACAGTTCAGGAATAAGGGGCCAAAATGGGGCCCAAATAAGCATTTTTCTAGTTCCAGACAATAGCTTGTGAAATGGTGTATGGATCTCTCTGAAATTATACCACATTTAGTTACCATATCACAAAGGGATGGTAAGAATTTGCTTTGGGGGGTTATGGCTCAAACTGTTTAGGAATTAGGGGCAAAAAAGGAGGAAAAACAAGGGTTTCCAGGTTAATGGACAATTACTTAAGTACAAAACATAATTATAAAGCAGTGTAAGGGAGGTAATTCAAACACATATTGTCAAATTACCTCCCTTACAGCTTGTAAATTATTTATAAAGAAATGCATTGTCTTTAGGTGATTAGCTGTTAATTTATTTTTAGAAGTTACTATTTAAAAAAGAAATTGTGGGGGGCCATTTTTTTTTTTATTTCTGATTTCAGAAATTAAAAAGAAAATTTCTTCAAATATGTTTTTTTTTGCAAAAAAAAAGGGGGGAGGGGGGGTGTCAATATGCAACAGCATAGTGTATTTCACAAAAGCAAAAAAAAGGGGATGTAAATTATTTTTTTTTGGGTTGGGGGGGGGGGGGGCAATTCACAACTGCATATAGTATTGCACAAAAGCAAAAAATTGAATATAAATTCAAATCATATAACCAATGCTAAGTTCTTTGACTACAGTTATTCGGTGTCAGAAACCTATTTTGTGTCAAATATTTAATAACAATCCATATTCAGACCTGTATCAAGCGCGAATATTGTGTCCATTTTCGCCCCAACTGTTCAGGGTTGGACCTCTGCGATCGTATTCAGCTGTGCTCAGCGAAGCATTTTATTATTTTAGGCATGATTATGATGTCATTTTCTATTTTAAAATTTTTTTAATTTTAGCCATGATTATGTATGTGAAGGAATTTTATTTTTAGATATTACTATTTAATGTTGCTGTTGAAAGTGTTTTAATTTTAGGCATGATTATGATGTCATTTTCTATTTTAATACTTTTATGATGTATTTAAATGGGTTTTTATGGTTGCAAAGTCCTAGCTGTCAATTTATTTTTAGAAGTTACTTTTAAATGCTGATGAAGGAATTTTATTATACGACTGTATATTGGAATGACATTGGCGTCGTTGTCGTCGTCGTATGAAGACACACTGGTTTTGGAACTCTAACTTTAGTTTAAGTGTATGGATCTCTATGAAATTTTACCATAAGGTTCAATACCACAAAAGGAAGGTTGGGATTGATTTTGGGGGTTATGATACCAACAGTTAAGGAATTAAGAACCAAAAAAGGGCAAAAAAAAAGCATTTTTGTAACTTCCAGACATAACTTGTGTGTTAGTGTATGGATCTCTCTGACATTGTACCACAAGGTTCCATATCACAAAGGGAATGCTGGGATTGATTTTGGGGGTAATTGCCTGAAAATTATAAGAATTAGGGGCCAAAAAAGGGGCAAAAAACACGCATTTTTCTAGTTTCATGACAATAACTTGTGTGTAAGTGTATGGATCTTTCTGAAATTGTACTATAAGGTTCCATATCACAAAGGGAAAGCTGGAATTAAGTTTGGGGGTAATTGCCAAAAACATTTAAGAATAAGGGACCAAAAAGGGGCAAAAAAATAAGCATTTTTCTAGTTTCCAGACAATAACTTGTGTTCAAGTGTATGGATCTCTCTGAAATTGTACTGCAAGGTACCATACCACAAAGGGAAGGCTGGGATTGATCTTGGGGGTAATTGCCTCAAAATTTTAGGAATTAGGGGACAAAAAGGGGCCAAAAACAAGCATTTTTCTAGTTTCAGGACAATAACTTGTGTGTAAGTGTATGGATCTTTATGAAATTGTACTATAAGGTTCCATATCACAAAGGGAAAGCTGGGTTTGAGTTTGGGGGTAATTGCCCTGAACGTTTAGGGATTTGGGGCCAAAAAGGGGCCTAAAAACAAGCATTTTTCTAGTTTCCAGACAATAACTTGTGTTCAAGTGTATGGATCTCTCTGAAATTGTACTGCAAGGTACCATACCACAAAGGGACGGCTGGGATTGAGTTTTGGGTGATGAATCATAAGGGGGTTCAAAAAATTTGGGGAGGGATTTTTTTTTCCTTTTTTTTTCTTTAAAATTTTCCATTTTAAATTGGTTATTTCTGATTTATATATAAAAGCAAATAATAATGATATGGTTTGAATAGGTAAATTTAAAATTTTTAAGTTCTTAGACCACATTCATTCTGTGTCAAAAACCTATGCTGTGTCAAATATTTAGTCACAATCCAAATTCAGTGCTGTATCAAGCTTGAATGTTGTGTCCATACAGTTGCCCCAACTGTTCTGGGTTTGGCATCTGTGGTTGTATCAAGCTACGCCCAGCGGAGCATTTTATTTTTAGATATTACTATTAAAAGTTGCTGATGAAGGTTTTTAATTTATGCCATGACTATGATGTCATTTTCTTTTTTGATACTTTTATGTTGTATTTAAATGGGCTTTTATGGTTAAAAAAAAGCATTTCTCTAGTTTCCAGACAGTAACTTGTGATTAAGTGTATGGATCTCTCTAAAATTGTACTACAAGGCTCCATACTACAAAGGAAAGACTGCAATTGAGTTTGATGGTTAATGCTGAAAGAGGGATTCAAAAAGTTTGTGGGGAAGGGTGGGTTTCCAATTTTTTTTTAAAAGGGTTCATATTTTTTTTTTATAATTTTCAAAATTTGAAATTTTTGAAAAGTTTGAAGAAGAAATCTTCAATTGCACAGTATTGCGCATTAGATTTGTAAGATCTTTGACCACATTTATTTTGTGTCAGTAACCTATATCATGTCAAAAATTTGATCACAATCCAAATTCAGATAGTATCAAGCTTGAATATTGTGTCCAAATTTGCCCCAACTGTTCAGGGTTGTATCAGGCTGCGCTCAGCGAAGCATTTTATTTTGAAAAGTGAAATACTCTATTATTATGAGTTATAGGATAACTATATTTGGTATATGGGTTCCCTGCAAAGTCTACATTTGTGTCAGATGAGGTTCACCTGACCTTGTCCTCATTTCATGGATCAGTGATCAAGGTTAAGTTATTGTGGTCAAGTCTGTATCTCAGATACTATACGCAGTAGGTCAACTATATTTGGTATAATGAATGATTGTAAGGTGTACATGTCTGACTGGCTGGTTTCATCTGACCTTGACCTCTTATTAATGGTTAGTTTTACAATGTTAAGTTTTTTTGGTTAGATCTATTTCTCAGGTACTATAAGCAACATGACCACTATATTTGGTGTATGGAATGATTGTTAGTTGTGCATGTCTGTCTGGCATTGTTCACCTGACTGTGACTTCATTTTCATGGATCATTGATAATGTTAAGTTTATGTGATACTTGTAGTAAATCCTTCATATTACAGACTTTCAACATGAATTCAATCATAAGTAAAACAGGTGAGACATTACAGCGTGTACACTCTTGTTTTAAATTATTATGTTTTTTTTCTTTGTTAAATTCATGTACAGGTACTGATTGTAATGAGTGATTTGTGTGAGTGCTTGACCTTTTTTGACTAATTTAGAAATGATGTTTTCATTATACAGATATAATGACTTAGTGTTGTTGATTTTTTTTGTGGCACAGAGTTTATGTGTACATGTCTGTTCAAAACATGGTTTAAAGGAATGATGTGTAGATGTAAATGAATTTTCTGAATTTTTTTACCAGTATTTATCAGAAACATTGTGACAACCATGAATAAAAATGATTTTTTTTCTTCAGTTTTCCGAAGCAAGTGGAGTCTGGATTAATTGAAGTTATATCTCCATCAGGAGACTTTTATCCTAATCTGAATGATATACCATTAACTTATGGTGATACAAAGGAGAGGGTAAAGTAAGCATATCTCTTAAAAAGGCACAGTCTAAAATCCTTTCATGGAAAATAAGACATTTATGTATAAGAAAATGAATGGTTCTGTATGCAAATTAATGGGAATGTTTATTTTATTGTACCAAATACAAATTTTAAGATGAAACCATTAAAAGGCCAATTATTCATTCCATGAATGGTCTTAAAATCATTGGGGTCAAATGTGGTAAAATGACCATCCAATGGCAGGACAACATTTTAAATCACAATATTTCATAATTGAAGTTATATAGAAATTTTTTCAACAATTAAACAATTGTTTTCCTGCTTGAAACAAATTTTGATTTAGAATTAAAAAAGTTTTGGAAATGTCTATGAAAATTAGATGCCTTGCATTCACCTTAAAAAACCTACAGTAACCTAATGTAATGTTTGCCTTGATAACTCTAGCTATTGAATATAAAGAATCAAATGTTAATTACATATATCCCTTTCTTTAAAAAAATAATAGAATTGTATAAATGATTAGTAGTAATGGAAAAGCTACAAAATAGCTAAGAACCAAATTAAATACAATGTAAAGACATATGCACTTTTTCGACAATGATATCTGTTTTTCTGCACTTACATTACTCACATTTCATCTTGTTTTTCTTTGATGTGACTTCGATATATACTCTAGTTTATCAAGATTTTAAATCAACCAAGGTCCGTCATCAGAGTTTCAATTTATTAAACAAACAAGAATTATACTGGGATGACACTCAACACCACAAGATTCACTGTACTTAGGATCTTCTTTCAAAAGTATGCTTATGGCACCAATTACCTTCAAACATGGATTCCATCATTGATCAAAATCAATTCAAGTAAAAAATATCTTTTGATTGACCAGCGTCTTCAAGACTTTGGTTAAGTCATCTTTTAGAATCATGGTTGATAAACCCTGCCACCTTAATTCAATACATTGTAATGACATTTACCATTAGATACTAGTGATATATATGTATATGTTTAAAGCACCATCAACACAAACTGTTTTAATTGATATCTGTCACAACAAGAATTCATTAACTATGTATGTGTCATTGCTTAGTAGTTTTGGAATAAATTTCCCAAATTTGCCTTTCAAAACATGTATATAGTATAAAAAAGCCTTTTAATGATACCATATTTTCCAATGAAAAACTAGGACACAAGCAGTTATAGATGTTTGATGCAATGTTAATTATCTTTGATAATATCTTAATGAATGTACCTTATATTTAATCAAAACATTGAAAACTCAGATTTTACATTTGAAATGCTGTCCAATTTCTTATAAAAACTGCATGATTAAAAATATTGCATATAAAAATGAGAAGGTGTGGTATGATTGCCAATGTGACAGCTATCCACCAGACACCAAAGGACACGGATGTAAGCAGCTAAAGCTCACCATATGGCCTTCAACAAGTAACAAAACCAATACCATATGATAAGCTATATGTGACATAAACAAGAAAAACTGCAGCCTGATTTATGCTAAATAATAAACTTGACAAAAAACAAATATGGCAGACAGCAACAAATGTCAACCACTCAATTACAGACACATAAAGAATGTGGTGGGGTTTAAAATGGTTGTGAGCAATCAACCTTCCTTCTAACCTGGGACAGTGGTGACACTGCACAACATAAGTACAAACTGTGAATATCAGTTGGAAAGCGCTTGACTGTTAAAAAGAGAAAAGCAGCACATACTCCAATATTCTTGAAGTGCAAAACCTTCCCTACAACACCATGAAATTCAACACTATTTTCCTTATATTTACAGATGGAGGACAAAACAAAACCTGGATTTTTCCTTTCTTATGCTGTATGCAAGAACAAGGGGGATTTATTATGTTCAGGTAACATTATGACATGGTGTATAGTCATGGAAGCTAGGTTAATTAGTTTTTCATCAATTAAATAAGTTTTTTGTCCACCATTTCCTAGTGTAAAGATGGGTTTATATTCCTGAAAATACAATTAAACTCTCAAATTAGTATGATATTCAAGATTTTTGCACATGTGGTCACACAAACTTTTGCCTCAGTGTTTATATAAACCTGCAGTTTGTGTATGTTTTGGGAATAACTTACTGAATAAGTAATTTATAAAATAAATTGTTTGTTTCAAATAATAACTATAGCACTTTTTTTGTGGTCTAGGTAATGGTGACTTCTAGATAATTGTCACCTTTCAGTTTGTAGAGTTTAGCTTGTTTTGCAAAAATATCTTGTTTCACTCTATTTGTTAAATGTCTCAACATTAATAGTAGATTGATAGTTGAGAAAAAGTTCATGTGGTGTTTGGACTACTCAATGTCATTTGACAATTGTCCAATGAGACGAGTACACAAAAAAATCATGATATTCAATTTTCAACTTTTCTCATCCAATTAGCTATTGCCGTCACTTGGTGCTGTTTTCACCTGTAGTATACTTTGTAAAAAATCCCTGAAACCAAATTTCAACCTTGACATCATTTTCTTGGCTCAATTATTATTATATTAAGTTAATTTATTCCTGTAGTAAAACTTTGAACTTGAAAGATTTTTAACATATATTCAGTCATGATAGTAAAGCAGGCGAGATATTTCAGCTACCTGCCTTCTAACACCCAAAACTTAAGTGATACTTCATCAAATGAACAAGTTTGTCAAAAGTTAATGTATTCTTTGGTGATAGAGAAGTCATTCACTATAGATTAAGCTAAATTCATACTGATGTTTTCTAAATAAATGAAAATGATACTTTGAAAAAAAACTTTTTAGAAACCCTATCCAATGAACAAAACAACAACACTTTAGATGGGGTATGATTACAATTGAGGCAACTATCCACCAAAGAAGGATATAAAGATGTAAACAATTATAGGTCATAATATGACCTTCAACAATGAACAAAAACTATGTCTTATAGTAAGCTATAAATGGCAAGCTTTTACTGATAATCTAAGAAATACAAACTATTATCTCTATGGCAACCATTTTATTTACAGATTCAGGTGCATGCTTTGTGACATACTGGGTAATTTGTTGAGTTAATGGTTCTGTTGCACTAACAACTGCTTTTATTTCGTTTGCTTTATATTCTTTTCACGATTGTATTGATTATGACCTTAATAAATTTAACATGATTAGGCATGGCTAATAAAACAACATACTTATAGGGCAAGCATAACATAAGAAAAGGTCATATGACTCATCATTAACCTTTGACATCTTAGAATTTATGGTTCTATTGATAAGTTGATTAGATTAGTATCACCTTTTCTTTGATACAATATTGGTTAATAACCTAGCCATTCAAGCCATGCCCAGTCATTATTGCTTTGTTGATACAGTTTGAATTACATTTGTAAGTGGTTCCACTAAATAGACTACCCAAATTTCATCCAAACAATTCCTTTTACACTTGGAAATTTTTTAATATCTTGATTAAATTCAAAAAGAATTTACGTCTTTAAAATAATGTGGTTAAGACATGGTCTGGGGACACAGTTATCGTCCATTGAATTTTTCGTTTTTATACGGCCGGAAAAAACGCGTCGTTGTCGTCAGCGTCGTCCGAAGACATTTGGTTTCCGGACAATAACTTTAGTATAAGTATATAGAAATCTATGAAATTTAAACACAAGGTTTATAACCACAAAAGGAAGGTTGGGTTATAGTCCTAACAGTTTAGGAATTAGGGGCCAAAAAGGGGCCCAAATAAGCATTTTTCTAGTTTCCAGACAATAACTTGTGGAACGGTGTATGGATCTCTCTGAAATTATACCACAAGTTTCCATACCACAAAGGGATGGTTAGGATTGGCTTTGGGGGGTAATGGCTCAAACCGTTTAGGAATTAGGGGGAAAACAAGGGTTTCCTTGTTAATGGACAATTACTTTTAAGTACAATGTTTTGTGTTTGGATTACTGCCCTTACACTGCTTTTAAATTATGTATAAAGAAATATTGTATTGTCTTGCGGTGATTAGCTGTCAATTTATTTTTAGAAGTTACTATTAAAAATGCTGATTAAGGAATATTAATTTTAGACATGATTATGTATATATGTCATTTTCTATTTTAAGACTTTTAGAGTACATACAATCTAAGACTCTCTTATCTTGCAATAGTATTAAAACATTTGAGTTTTCTACACTTTACACAAGTATTCCCCATTCCAAACTAAAAGACAAATTGAAAGAGTTGGTATTACTTTGTTTCATTAAAAAGAATGGTGAACGTAGATACAAGTATCTTGTCTTGGGAAGGGATAAATACTACTTTGTAAAGAATCACTCTGATTCAAACAAAAAATTCTCTGAAACTGACATTATCAAGATGCTTGATTTATTGATTGACAACATATTTGTTACATTTGGAGGACGTGTTTTTCAACAGACTGTCGGAATTCCAATGGGAACCCAGTGGCGGATCCAGAACTTTTCATAAGGGGAGCCCACTGACTGACCTAAAGGGGGCCCGCTCCAGTCATGCTTCAGTGATTCCCTATATAATCAACCAAATTTTTCCCTCGAAAGGGGGGGGGGGGCCGGGCCCCCCAAGGCCCCCCCCCTGGATCCGCCTATGGAACCAATTGTGCCCTCTTCTTGCCGACTTGTTTCTTTATTATTATGAGGCTGACTTCATACAGGAACTTCTTAGGAAGAAAGATAAGAAGTTAGCAATATCATTTAACTTTACGTTCCGCTATATAGATGATGTTCTCTCACTAAATAATACAAAATTTGGTGACTAATAAGGAACGAATCTATCCCAGCGAACTAGAGATAAAGGATACTACAGTTAAGTCTGCCTCATATCTTGACTTACATTTAGAAATTAACAATGAGGGTCGGTTGAAAACAAAACTTTACGACAAAAGATGATTTCAGCTTCCCAATTGTGAACTTTCCATTTCTATGTAGCAACATTCCAGCAGCGCCTACATACGGAGTATATATCTCCCAATTGATAAGATATTCCCGGGCTTGTATTTCCTATCATGATTTCCTTGATAGAGATTGCTGCTCACAAGGAGACTATTAAACCAAGAGTTCCAAATGGTGAAGTTGAAATCATCCCTTCGTAAATTTTACGGACGCCATCACGAGTTGGTTGACTGTTATGGAATAACCATTTCACAGATGATATCGGATATGTTCCTTATGTCATAACTACAATACCCTTCCCTTTTCACAAATGTGACCTACCGTATTAGACTATTTACCAGATTTGTAATAACATAAGCAATACGACGGATGCCACATGTGGAGCAGGATCTGCTTACCCTTCCGGAGCACCTGAGATTCCCCCCAGTTTATGGTGGGGTTCGTGTTGCTTAGTCTTTAGTTTTCTATGTTGTGTCATCTGTACTATTATTTGTCTGTTTGTCTTTTTATTTTTGGCGTTGTCAGTTTGTTTTCGATCTATGAGTTTGACTGTCCCTCTGGCATCTTTGGTCCCTCTTTTGTGATTGGGTCAGTTCATGGGAAACCATTAGTGGTAGGTCAATGATATTTGGTATGCAGTTATATAAACATTGGCACATCTCATTTCCATGGAGATTATCTGGTCCTGCCCTTTCAGTCATGGTCTATTGACTTTGAAGATTTGCTTAGTTTACATGTATTAGTTTGTGATAAGGTCAGTGGTATTTGGTATGTAGTTTTATCAGCATTGGCATTTCTCATTGCCATGGAGTTTATTTGGCTCTTCACCATCAGTCATGATTTATTGTTTTAATACTGCGATTTTGATTTCAACATTTGCATTTATATTGATTATACTATAAAAATTACAAAACAGGAGACATATCTCTGTGTCAACAGTTTATTTAAATTTGAATTTATTGTAATAACAATATAATGATACTAAATTCTTTATTTAAACACAGTAAGTTACAACTTCTTCACATACAAATTACAATACCTTTAAAAACAGATATTTAAACATACCGGTAGTTAATTTACAATCATTTAGTTCAATGTATCATTATAAAAGATAAAACAGTTAAAGAGTAGTAAATAATAAAAAAATATGATATACAAATCAAAATAATACATTGTAGAAAACAGAAATTTATCAAGACTGTGTCACGTACTTCTTGATACTTTGTTTAAAAGTAAAAGTGTTTTGGACTTTACACATTTTGTATGGTAGTTCATTTCATAGAACTGATCCAGAATAAGTAAAAGATATCTTAAACAGCTCAGTTTTTGGCTGAAGATCAAATTACTTTGATTAACACATATAGAGAGTAAGGATTATTATCTCATTCTGATATATAACATCTTCTGAAAATCAAGACTCATAAATATATTTCATGGCAAAATCATAGCCCATTCAGATATTTCTCAGTTATGACATATATAATTTTTTACATCCTAATTTCACCTAAATGGATAAAACAATACAGGTATCTAATCGAAAAATGAAAAGTACTGAACCATTCACATTTCACCTAGAATTCTGACATTGTAATCCATTGATATACATTGTATTTGACATATCAGCAAAGGGACCCATTCCAGCGACACGCTAGTATACACCTTTATATATATAGGAAGAGACCCCTTGCGATACCTCTGTCCAAAAGTGGAAAGACTAATTAAACCATTGTCGTGACGTCAGCCTATTCATTTACCGTGGATTCTTTTTCTAGAATCAACGCTTCTTAAATCTGTTGCTTAAATGGACTCACCAAATTATATTCAATTGTTTCCTTTGTGTGCCTAACTTCATTATCTTTGAATTGGCCAATTTACTGATTTCTGTTCACTAATGGAATTAATTTAAAAACTTACCTTTTATTAGTGCATTGTTGAACGTGATAACATGGTTATTTCAACTCACTTACAATACCTTCTAATTAAGAAAAGGCTTTAATTTTGAAAAGACATCAACACAATAGTTTAAGTTAGAGATACAATGAATAAGCGTTGATTCATGAAAAACAAACCATTCGCCCACCAGGCTCATGGTTTCTTTTTCAAGAATCAAAGCTTATTCATTGTATCTATAATACTGAATGGATGGACAGAGGTACTGACCGGAAAACATTATACCCCATAATATTGTATGCAGGGCAAACTAGATTAGCTAATTATACTTTTAAGAGTTAATCTTCCTTACCCTCATGAACTTTTCTTTCTGATTTCTGTCTGAAATTGTCTTAAATGGCTTTAATTTGTCTTAATATTGTTTCGTACAAAGGAGAAGGTCCGGTAAGGGCTAATTTTGGCCTATAAATTCAAAGTACATCTGATGAAAGATTTTTGACATTTTTTAAACACTTAAGTGTCTACTTCATTCAATTCAATTAGTTTATGTTTAAGATTTGAACTAATTTGGTCATTAAAGACACTCAAATTCAAGCTTAAATATGAAAAATCAATCAAATATGCCATAAAACGTTACTTTTCAGATGGTTTTTGTCTAAAATGGAAGTGGCCGCATTCGTGTTCAGTCTCAATATTTATATATGTGATTAATAATAAATACAACATATATTTAAATATTAAGACTGAACACAAGTGCAGTCTCTTCCATTTTAGACAAAAACTGTCTTAAGATTAGCATAAATGCTAAAATTGGGAAGATTTCAGTAATTATACGACCGCAAAAAAAAATTTTGTGGTCGTATATTGGTATGACGTCGTTGTCGTCGTCCGAAGACACATTGGTTTTCGCACTCTAACTTTAGTTTAAGTGAATGGATCTTTTGACTATGAAATTTTACCATAAGGTTCAATACCGCAAAAGGAAGGTTGGGATTGATTTTGGGGGTTATGGTACCAACAGTTAAGGAATTAGGGGCCAAAAATAAGCATTTTTGTAACTTCCAGACATAACTTGTGTGTTAGTGTATGGATCTCTCTGAAATTGTACCTCAAGGTTCCATATCACAAAGGGAATGCTGGGATTGATTTTGGGGGTATTTGCCTCAAAATTTTAGGAATTAGGGGCCAAAAAAGGGGCAAAAAACAAGCATTTTTCTAGTTTCATGATAATAACTTGTGTGTAAGTGTATGAATCTTTCTGAAATTGTACTACAAGGTTCCATATCTCAAAGGGAAAGGCGGAAAAGAGTTTGGGGGTAATTGCCCAAAACGTTTAGGAATAAAGGGCCAAAAATAAACATTTTTCTAGTTTCCAGACAATAACTTGTGTTCAAGTGTATGGATCTCTCTGAAATTGTACTGCAAGGTACCATACCACAAAGGGAAGGCTGGGATTGATTTTGGGGATAATTGCCTCAAAATTTTAGGAATAAGGGGCCAAAAAGGGACAAAAAACAAGCATTTTTCTAGTTTCAGGACAATAACTTGTGTGTAAGTGTATGGATCTTTATGAAATTGTACTACAAGGTTCCATATTACAAAGGGAAAGCTGGGTTTGAGTTTGGGGGTAATTGCCTCAACATTTTAGGAATTTTGGGCCAAAAAGGGGCCTAAAAACAAGCATTTTTCTAGAATCCAGACAATAACTTGTGTTCAAGTGTATGGATCTCTCTGAAATTGTACTGCAAGGTACCATATCACAAAGGGAAAGCTTGAATTGAGTTTGGGGGTAATTGCCAAAAACAATTAGGAATAAGGGGCCAAAAAGGGTCCAAAAATAAGCATTTTTCTAGTTTCCAGACAATAACTTGTGTTCAAGTTTATGGATCTCTCTAAAATTGTACTTCAAGGTACCATACCACAAAAGGGAGGCTGGGATTGATTTTGGGGGTAATTGCCTCAAAATTTTAGGAATTAGTGGCCAAAAAGGGGCAAAAAACTAGCATTTTTTCTAGTTTCAGGACAATAACTTGTGTGTAAGTGTATGGATCTTTATGAAATTGTACTACAAGGTTCCATATCACAAAGGGAAAGCTGGGTTTGAGTTTGGCTGTAATTGCCCTAAATGTTTAGGAATTTGGGGCCAAAAAGGGGCCTAAAAACAAGCATTTTTCTAGAATCCAGATAATAACTTGTGTTCAAGTGTATGGATCTCGATGAAATTGTACTGCAAGGTACCATACCACAAAGGGAAGGCTGGTATTGAGTTTTGGGTGATGAATCATAAGGGGGTTCAAAAAATTTTGGGGAGGGATTTTTTTTTTTTTAAATTTTCCATTTTAAATTGGTTATTTCTGACTCATATATAAAAGCAAATAATAATGATATGGTTTGAATAGGTAAATTAAAAATTTTTAAGTTCTTAGACCACATTCATTCTGTGTCAGAAACCTATGCTGTGTCAAACATTTAATCACAACCCGAATTCAGTGCTGTATCAAGCTTGAATGTTGTGTCCATACTTGCCCCAACTGTTCAGGGTTCGACCTCTGCGGGCGTATCAAGCTGCGCCCAGCGGAGCATTTTATTTTTGCATGAAATAATGATGCTAGTACCTGATGCATGTGCATTGTATTGCCCAAAAACAGCCTATATTTATGTAACAAAAGTATTCTACTTTCCAATAAATAGCTAAAGTTTATATTTTTAACAACTTTGTAAAAACGATACATTTTGGGGCCCAAAAGGGGTCTTTCTGGGCCTAATCCTTTCCATCTCTTAATTATTAATTGTCATACTAATCACTGATAGAACTGATTACTAATGATATCTCCTTACTGTCAAAGTATAGCAAGATTTATGTCTATAAATGAAGAATCAATCCTCCCATCTCTTAATTATTAATTGTCATACTAATCACTGATAAAACCTATTACTAATGATATCTCCTTACTGTCAAAATATAGCAAGATTTATGTCTATAAATGAAGAATCAGTCCAGGGTTATTCGTGTAAGTAAGGATATATATAAGGATATTATAGATAAATACCCATATAACAATTTTTAAGATCAGAAAGATTGTTATTTTTGATGGTTTCTTCAGCATCTTGCTGTTAGTATGAAATGAATAGGGAAAATTAAAATAAAGATAATGGTAATTAATTTTATCAGTTTTTGTCTCGCATTGATGGAGTCAAAAAGAGAGACATAGGTATGCTGTTTCTGGCGTCTGCGGCGTCAACAATGTATTAGTTTGTGATTAGGTCTAGTTCATGGTGAACCACTAGTGGTAGGTCAATGATATTTGGTATGCAGTTGTATTAGCATTGGCAAATTTCATTACCATGCAGATTATTTGGCCCTTCCCCCTCAGTCAAGGTCTATTGACTTTGAAACTTTTCATTGTTTACATGTATTAGTTTGTGATTAGGTCAGTTTATGGGGAAGCACTAGTGGTAGCTCAATGATATTTGGTATGCAGTTGTATAAGCATTGGCATATCTCATTTCCATGGAGATTATTTGGCTCCGCCCCCTTAGTCATGGTCTATAGACTTTGAAAATTTTGCTAAGTTAACATGTATTAGTTTGTGATTAGGTCAGTTCAAGGGGAACCATTAGTGGTAGGCCAATGTTAATTGGTGTTCAGTTGTATAAGCATTAGCACATCTCATTTCCATGGAGAATATTTGGCCCCGCTCCCTCAGTCATGGTCTATTTACTTTGAAACTTTTGCTTACTTTACATGTATTAGTTTGTGATTACAGATCAGTTTAAGATGAACTGCTAATGTTAAGTCAATGATATTTGGTATGCAAATTTATTGGCATTTGCAAGTATCGTTTCCATGGAGATTATATAGCCCCACCCCTGATCATGGTTCATTGACTTTAAAACTTTTACATAGTTTACAAGTTAATGTTTGTCTTTAGGTTTGTTTAAAGGGAACGACTTATAATAAGTCAATGGTATTTGGTATGCAGTTGTATTAGCATTGGCACATCTCATTCCATGGAGATTGTTTAGACCTGTACCTTCAGTCATGGTTCATTGACTTTGAATATTTGCATAACTTACATGTTAAAGTATTGCTATTTTAATTTCAACATTTGCATTATCAAAATTACAAAAAGGCGAGACATATCTCTGTGATAACAGTTTATTCATTTAGAATTTCAATTAACCAAACATGGTTGAAATAGCTTATATGCACTTGTATGATATAGAATATTTTTTTAAAGTTAGAAGATGATGTGCTGGCCAAGCCTGGTTACTTTACCATTATGAAAACATTTGCTGAACAGCAGTCACAGAAAGACTGGATTCTGCTGGAGTTTTCCTCGCTTGGATTTATTGGTAAGTTTTATCTTGCTATACATTTTGTTCTGCTTCATATTAAAAATGTGACCACGATCAACACAACGTTTTTACAACCCTACAAAATATAAAATTATAAAAGGAAGCAATCAATTTTTATAACTACATGTTTATGCTACAACCATGGAATCAAGAGTTATATAAAACTTTTCGTTTGTTGTTCAAGGCTTTATTTAACATTGTCATGGATAGCACATGCAGTCATTGCTTTTGTATGTTATACAGAAATGAAATATGATATTTGAGTGTCTCACAATTGTTGTCAGCAAATTTATGGATTCTAATGAAAGTTGAAACATACATTTAATGTAATTATTGTATTATAATAAACATTTTCCTGAAAGTTCCTGTTTTATTATGTTCACAGGGGAAATCAAATAAATGGTAGGAAATCACTTTTATCAGTAAACTTTTTATACGACCGCAAAAAATTTGCATTCGTATATTGCTATCATGTTGTTGTCGTTGTCCGAAGACATTTGGTTTCCAGGCAATAACTTAAGTATTAGTGAATGGATCTCTATGAAATTTAAACACAAGGTTCAATACCACAAAAGGTCAAGGTTGGGATTGATTTCGGGGGTTATGGTCCCAACTGTTTAAGCTGTGGTCACACTTTACCGGAAAGCTCGAACAGACGCCAAACAGATGAAAAAAAAGTTTTCCTTTGACAAAATTTTTATCTGTTGGGAGTCCGTTGGTGTACTGACCAAATAAAACGGACGCTGAACGAATGTCTAACGGACACACACAGGATGTGCAACATACAAGAAATGGAAACGTACCGGACAGAACGGATGTCGAACGTACATCCAACGGACAAGTACCGCATAAAACGGGCACCTAAAGGAAGAGTACCAGAAAAAACAGATGAACAAGATAAGCGAAAAAATTACATACACGTGACCTTAAAATAATTAAAAAGTTTCTGTGTAATTGGTTTTAGTTTATTCTTCAAAATGCAGCCAAAGGGTAGGGGTGGAAAAGGAAGAGGAAAAAAATCTCAGAGAAAAATGCCAATAACGCTGCCTGACCATGATTTAGAAGTCGAGCCAAATACAGAATTTGATGCCACTGAAAAACCAAGAGAAGTTGGCATTTCTGACGCGAAATTTTCAATTGGCATTTATCTGTTTTACATTCGGTACGTATCCGTTCATGTCCGTTTCTCATCCGTTCATCATCCGTTTTATCCGTTATATTAAAGTCCGGTAGAAGTCTGTTGGTGAATTGGTCTACCGGACCTCCAACGGATGTATAACAGATAAGTTACGGATATAAACCGTAAAAAATTTGTAAGGGTTCCACGGAACCCAGTGTCTCGCCTACTTTTGCTGTTAATCGCAGGCTCAACAAAAATGAGGAAAAAAATTAATAAAAATATTCCTCTCTATACTATCTCTTGATTGTAAGTAGCTTCTGTCCAAGTTTGGTAAAAATCCAGGATAGTTTATGAATCTAATAAATGTTTTAAAAACTTAAACTGCAGACTGTATGTTATGTTAACTGGAAGAAAAACAAAGTCCATTTATAAGTAAAAAACAGAAAAAATGGAACAAAATTTTAACAAATTTTCCTTCTAGATACTAGCTTTTAATCATGAACAAGCTTCTGTCCAAGTTTGGTACAAATCCCAGGTAGTTTAAGAAAGTTGTTAAAATTTAAAAAAAACTTTAACCACAGAGTGAATGTAATGTAAACTGGCAGAAAAACTAAGTCCATTTATAAGTTAAATACTGATAAACTGGATTTTTTTTACAAATTTTACTTCTGGATACTATCTTATGATCATAAACAAGCTTCTGTTCAAGTTTAGTAGAAATCCAGGATAGTTTAAGAAAGTTATTAAAATTTCAAAAACTTTAACCACACAGTGAATATTTGTGGATGCCGCCGCCGACGACGGAATGTAGGATCGCTATGTCTCGCTTTTTCGACAAAAACAGACGCCTACCGGACGTTCAACGGACACTTTATCCGTTGGATGTCCGTTCAAAGTTTTGAACTCAAAATTTTCCACCTGACAGAACGGACGTGGACGGATAAAACGGAAGATGGACAGACGTCTAACGGACATGAACAGATTGAAAAAAAGTTATCTGTTCGCACTATCCGGTAAGGTGTGACCGGGGCTTTAGGAATTAGGGGCCAAAAAAGGCATTTTTATACGCCTGTCAAAATTTTGAAGGGACGTATTATGGTATACAAATGTAATCTGTCCGGCGTAAACATGTCGCACCGTAACTTGAGAACGACTTATCCAAATTTCATAAAACTTAAGATAGTTGTTTCTTATGATGGTCAAACGATCTGTATACTTTTTGGTGAAAATAAGATTAAAACTTTTTGAGTTACGGGACTAAGTAACTTAAACAGGTGTGTGTTTTTTTTCACGTCGCGCCGTATCTCAAAAACAATTTATGATTATTGCTTAAAACTTTACACACTTCTTAGTTATATTAATCTTAAGATCTGTATATTTTTTGGTGATGATTCAAAATTTTATTTTTGAGTTATTGAGTATTTTGTAAGAAAAGGGGGAGGAGTTTTTCACATGTCGCGCCGTATCTCAAAAACGATTTATGATTATTGCTTAAAATTTTACACACTTCTTAGTTATATTAATCTAAAGATCTGTATGCTTTTTGGTTTTGATTCAAAATTTTATTTTAGAGATATTGATTTTTTTTTTTTTAAAAGGGGGGTTTTCACATGCCGTGCCGTATCTCAAAAATGATTTATGATTATTGCTTAAAATTTTACACACTTCTTAGTTATATTAATCTAAAGATCTGTATACTTTTTGGTTTTGATTCAAAATTTTATTTTAGAGATATTGAGTTTTTTGTAAAAAAAAAAGGGGGGGTTTTCGCATGTCGCGATGTATGTCAGAAACTATTTATGATTATTGCTTAAAAATTCGCACACAAGACGACGGGCGTATCATGCGCTCATGGCACAGCTGTTTATTCTAGTTTCCAGACAATAACTTGTGTATAAGTGTATGGATCTCTATGAAATTGTTAAGAAACTAGAGGCCAAATAGGGGCCAAAAACCAGACTTTTTTAATACTGGCTAAGCTAGTTCTGACATAAATTATTTCTGATCTATATAAAGAAACAACAAATACTGATATGGCAGGAGATACACACCAAACAAGGTGTGTAAATTATTATATTTAGTTTGTAAACAGATTTAATAAGTATTGCGCAACAGCAAAGTATTGCACAACAGCAAGAAATCTTCAATTGAAAATAAATACAAATCTTTTAACCAATTTCAATGAGGATTAATTTAATGTCTTGAATTGTTTGAGGTTTTTACCATGTATTACTATATTGGATATTTGGTCATTTTTAAATAGGTCTACATTGAGGTCCAAAGGGTCCAAAATTAGGCTTTGTTTGATTTCATCAAAAACTGAATTCTGGTGGTTCTATGATATGCTGAATCTAACTGTGCATTTAGATTTTTAATTTTGGGGCCCTGTTTTCAAATTAGTCCATATTAAGGTCCAAAGGGTCCAAAATTAAACTTTGTTTGAATTCATGGTTTTTGTCACGCCTTGACGGAGTCAAAAAGCGAGACATAGGTATGCTTTTTCCAGCGGCAGGGATGGCGCCGTAGGCTTCAACAATGTAATAGTTTGTGATAAGGTCTAGTTTATGGTGAACCACTAGTGGTAGGTCAATGATATTTAGTATGCAGTTGTATTAGCATTGGCACATCTCATTACCATGCAGATTATTTGGCCCTGCCCCCTCAGTCATGGTCTATTGACTTTGAAACTTTGCTTAGTTTACATGTATTAGTTTGTGATTACGTCAGTTTATGGGGAATCACTAGTGGTAGGTAAATGATATTTGGTATGCAGTTGTATAAGCATTGGCATATCTCATTTCAATGGAGATTATTTGGCTCCACCCCCTCAGTCATGGTCTATTGACTTTGAAACTTTTGCTTAGTTTTACATATGTATTAGTTTGTGATTAGGTTTGTTTAAGATGAACCACTAATATTAAGTCAATGATATTTTGTATGCAAATGTATTGGCATTTGCAAGTTTCATTTCCATGGAGATTATATAACCCCACCCCCTCATTATGGTTCATTGACTTTGAAACTTTTACATAGCTTACAAGTTAATGTTTGTGTTTAGGTTTGTTTAAAGGGAACAACTTATGAAAAGTCAATGGTATTTGGTATGCAGTTGTATTAGCATTGGCACATCTCATTTCCATGGAGATTGTTTAGCCCTGTAACTTCAGTCATGGTTCATTGACTTTGAATAAAGGGCCAAGTGAGCTGTTCTCATCACTTGGCGTCCGTCGTCCGTCGTCGTTAACTTTTACAAAAATCTTCTCTTCTGAAACTACTGGGCCAAATTTGACCAAACTGGGCCACAATCATTATTGGGGTATCTAGTTTAAAAAATGTGTCCGGTGACCCGGCCAACCAACCAAGATGGCCGCCATGGCTAAAAATAGAACATAGGGATAAAATGTAGATTTTGGCTTATATCTCTGAAACCAAAGCATTTAGAGCAAATCTGACATGGGGTAAAATTGTTTATCAGGTCAAGATCTATCTGCCCTGAAATTTTCAGATGAATCGGACAACCCGTTGTTGGGTTGCTGCCCCTGAATTAGTAATTTTAACCAAATTTTGCAGTTTTTATGCCCCACCTACGGAAATTTTGCCGTTTTTGGTTATTATCTTGAATATTATTATAGATAGAGATAAACTGTAAACAGCAATAATGTTCAGCAAAGTAAGATCTACAAATAAGTCAACTTGACCAAAATGGCCAGTTGACCCCTTAAGGAGTTATTGCCCTTTATAGTCAATTTTTAACCATTTTTCGTAAATTTTTGTAATCTTTTACAAAAATCTTCTCCTCTGAAACTACTAAGACAAATTTAACCAAACTTGTCCACATTCATCATTAGGGTATCTAGTTTAAAAAATGTGTCCGATG